GGGGGCGGGGTCCCCCAAACATGTTGCCTACAGTGGGCGTGAGGCCAGCAACCAAAAAAAAATCCCGACCCAAATTACCCGAGTTTGCTACAATCCCCAATGCGTCTTTCAACGCCCGTGTGTCTCGTGCTTTTGGGGTCGACAACAACCAGGCTGCGGGCCTCCCGCCTCTCCCCAGTGGTCTACCACTCTCAGGAGGCGCTGTCCAACTCCAACACCGGGTGCTACATCGGCTGCGCAACCTTGGGAGGCATCTCAGTGCAGGACGGCTTTGCTCGTTTCATGGGATCCGAAAATGCCCCCCGCGTTTCGGGTGCCCTGACATATTGCGGGAACAAAGATACCAGAGTTTCTCAGGGTTTGGTTGAGTATGGTTAGCCGGGATCCCCAGATCTGTACCCAAGCTTAAAACCTGAACTGGAGATATGGCGCAAACGTAGGGGGTGCAACCTGCCCCGCCACCCAATTTGCCCAAAGTTAGACCCTAAGTCACAGCCTTTCTTCGGGCCTTGTTTTGTAGGAAAGCATCTTCCCGCTTGCCTGGCAAGCTGCAGCAAACTATGGCCAGAACTGAAGTGTATGTCGTAGTCTTGGAGCCTTCGGCGGGCCAGTCGTAAATAGCAAGATGACACATGCTAAGGCATATATATATATATACATATATGTATGTCCATTCTGCCTGTTTGATGCTAAGGGAAGGTATGCTGGGCCTTAACCAAGTAGCTTCCGCACCCATCCCACCCCCCAATGTTGAGGCATCGCCCAGACCGGAACAGCGAGCAGTTGCTGGAAGGGGTTCATATAAACCTGTGCAAAATGCGCCGTGCCGTGAATGTGGCGGCGCGAGCAAAAAGAAGCATGGAACCTGACAGAGAGTCTTTGTTCGCGGAAACTGGTCTTCCAGAAGATTTCTGTCAGGTTCAATGTTGGTTTTACTTGGTTTCTAGGTTTTTAGGTTTAGTGGGGGTTGCCATTTAACCCACTAAAAGGTCAACTTTCAGCAGGGGATCTGAGGATAGCCCAGTTTTGAGAGGGCGCCAGCTCCAAATTCCCCGTAGGTCAATGGGTTTGTCTGGAAAGACGCGAAGATGGCCGGGATGGTTGAAAAAGCGCCTAAATGATTAGAATGGGTTTGCGGGGTACTTCAAAAACAATAGGAGCAAACGGTTACGACTGTTTTTGCCCCTCATATTGTTGGGTTTTAGATTGAATTTGATGGTTGTGAAAGACTGGCAGCTTGAGGCTGCCACTTTCTTCTTTCGTTGTTCAATCGATAAGGTAGTCATGCGGATGGGAATGCCACCTTCGCGTCGTACAGAATTTGGGTGGACAGCACAACCCTGTGGCAACATCTTGGTTGTTGTGTGGCGATGTTCAGTCTACCTTTGGACGTTGGTGGAGCTTTGCATGCGATTCGGGGAATCGGGAGGACGACGACATCGGACCCTTCACCAACATCGGCTCCTTCCCCTCCGGGACTGCTCCGGAATCGGGGGGAAAAGACCGGGCACAGGGGCTTCGAGTCTAAGAATGGTTGCCTGCAAAGGGGGCAGGACACCTCCCGGTCTTCAGCAAGCAACGCTCGTTGTGCCCCGAGCACTCAGTGGCAATCAAAGCAAACCAAGTGGATCCTTGATGTCCTGGCATTGATCCATTTTCTGTCATGCAACCATAGTGCAGACTATCATTTGGGGTGTCAAACCTCGGCATCCCTCCAAAGGGTGTCATGCTCCTTTGTGAAACCGCCCTTGCTACAAACTTCCAACTTTGACCCAGCAACGCAAAGCCTTGAGGAAAAACACAAGCTTGCCCTTCTTTTGTGGCAGAAGTGAATCTGGCAAGCCTTGCAACCCTGCTCTTCTCATGTGACCGGGGGTTAAGTGAATACTGTATTTTCTAACGGGCACCCATAGAAGTACCTGAGGACGCGTTGTGTGTTGGAGTGCCATTGTGCGGGTTGTTCAAAAGAGGGACCGAAAGGCAACCATCTAGTTTGAGGCTGGCTTTATGCCACATTAGGTAGTTGTGTCCGTTGTTGGAGTGGTGTTTCGCTTTTTAGGACTAGGGATAGCCACATTTTGAACAACCCAGTGACGGGTGCCACTGGGCGACTAGGCCACTCCTTGCGCTAGGAACTCGGGACGCGTGTCCCATGCGCTGGGACTGCGGGGCCCTTGCTTCACCATTGACACCGCTTGCTCGTGCCTTGGAAAGGAGGTTGGGTCGAAGGGACATGTGATTGGTATTCCTGAAGCAAAAAAAAGGGGTATGATGTCCCAGGAATTGGAACAGCGGTGCACACTTAGGGGTGACGAGGATCCCCTTTTAGCTGCACATCGACGCTGGATCCTTTTGGTAGAATTTGTTGGCTTTCAAAAAGGTCCTCCCATCCAGGCAGGGGCAGAAATCATAGCAAGCCATTAAAGAGAGTAACATGGAGCCTGACCTCTGACGTATTCACCAGACCTCTACCCGGTGCCGCCTTCCCATTGCTCCAGAGCGTTCATTTTTTCGGGCAGTTGTTTTTTTCTTGGTGAAGCGCCTTAAATCGTGCTTGACCATCCCATGGAGCTAGACAAACATGAAACATCACACAGGGCACACAAGCTGCATGGGACCAGTGCCGATGTACCCCAATTTGGTTTCCTTTGCGAAAGTGTCCTTGGCTCAAAAAGACGACACTTTTTCGCTGCTGGGCTCTAGCTGTGTTTGACTCTTTGCTTCCGTTCCTTTTAAGTGCAGCCTGCAAGCACTGTTCTTTTTCATACTGAGCATTGAGGAAGGGGACTGGAACAGCAAAGGACAGCTGATGTCAACTGAAGCAAGCGAAGTGCCGGTTCCAGCCAGCATCCAATAGGTGAAATATATGATGGTATTAAGCAGGGGGTCTATTCTAATTTGGCTACCATACTTAGCATTTTAAGTTTGCAGCCCTCAAACTCCTTAACCTCAAACACCTGTTTTTCTTTTCTTATACACTTTCTCTTTTTTCCCCCCCAAAAAAAGACCATGTTTCGTACGCAAGGGGCAGGTTTTTCAGATCCATCATTCGTGAGGTCCACGCTGGTGGCCCTGGACTGCGCGGCACAGGCCAAGCGCCTGGGCAAAGCCGAGCGCTCGGTGGCCGGGGTCCCCAGCCGCGCCGAACCGGAAGCGGAGACTCGGAGACTCGGAGAGGGTGGCCCTCCGTTTGCTGAAATCGTTTTTTTTTTTTTTTTTTTTTTTTTTTAACTTTCCCCTGTTGGTTTTAAAGGGAATCCATCACTACTGGACATATTGTTATTTTTTCCGGGCAGCTTAGGCAAATGGAAGTTGCTCCTTTTGGCCGGAAGGCTTGCTCCTGCCGGAAGAATCAACAAGGAGGTTTTTTTACACAGTTGTTTTCCTCTTTTTGTTGTTTTTTGTTTGGGGGGGGACCAAAGCAAGAAGATGAGACCAAAGGTTTTGGGGTATGAGGTGAAGAGTCTTGGAAAGGCTTCCTTTCGGAATGTTGAACCCTCCCGAGGTCTTCGACTTTTTGTCAACCCGCAAGGTGATGTTTAAACCCAAAAAGCGAGATAGGGACAAGGTTCCTTGAAGATGCTGTTTGTTTACTTCATAACCATTGGAGGGTAGTACTAGGTTTTGACTTTGATTCATGTGGAGGTTTCTTTAGATTGGGAACCTCGGGAGATGCTTCGTTTGCTTGTGCTACAAAACGAAACCGGGTATCAATACAGCGGATGGGCGAAATCCTGCACCACCTCAGAAACCATGGAATGATTCGATTCCCCCGTAAATACCTTCCCATGGCCTCAAAGCGGTGCAGGATTCGTCCATCCACAGTATTTCATTTAAGAATACTGCACGGAGAGCTGTCTTCAGGGAAACCTCCAAGTTTCAGATGGGTGGATGCGGACCCCCCAGCAAATGGGGCCCGGTTGCCCTTGTCCGCTCAAAACAACCCTTAAACAAGATGGACCTCAAATGCCGATTCCCACAAAGTGGCTTGTTTGCTGAGTGTTTTGGCCTAGTTTCCCGTGTCCTTTTTGTGGGTTTGCTTTCCAGAACATCCAAGAATGTTGGAGTGCGGCCTTCAACGTTTCCTTTGCAGTTTCCCTGTAAACCCCCCGGAAAAAAGTGCACCCTCACCATGTTCCGGAACCAGAGATGCTGTCCAAGTCGCCTCATACTTGCGGAGGTTGCTTGGAGCGCTGACCAATCCACGAGGGGGTCGAAGCCCTTTTAAAGCCTTTGGCAGGCAGGTTTGCTTTTTGCACCGAAAGGAAGCGGCCTTTTTCCTCCGTGGGTTCCCCTTGAAACCAGCTCACGCGCCGAGGTGGCTGGCAGCAACTTGCAGCTCTGCCCGAACACCTGGGCGCCCTGGATACGAGAAGGCTTTGCAAAGGCAAGCCCAAGACGGATTTCTCTTTCTTGGTGGTTCCCAGCGAATCGTACGGCTCGGTTCTTGGGTTCTTTTAGTGGCTTTTAGCGGTTTTTAGCGGTTTTTAGTGGTTTTTAGTCGGTTTGGTGGTTGGGTTTCCGAATTTACCCCACTAAAAAGTTAGTGTCTTTAGCAGGGGATCTGAGGACTGACCAGCTTTGATTTCTCCGCAGCACCAAGGGTACCCAAACACCCAAACGGGCCACAACGCCTAGATGAACTTGGACGTTCGGCCCACGTCAGGGGCAAAATCCAACCTCCACCTTGGGGACACATGACGTTTTGTGCGGGGTTCATGTGGTTTTGACTCTGGACTTGCATACCCACACTTGCACGGTGACTGACACGGAGAGCTGGCCCAATGCAAGGGCGTAGTTGACTTCCATTCGAACGGGTGCGAACATCCAAGAACGACAGTTTGGATGCCTCTCTTTGAGAGGGCCGCGGGTCCTATTCCTGACTAGTTGACACTGGTCGGTGGATTCGTTTGTATGCCAATGTTTTTTTCTCCATCCTTTTGAAACACGGCAATGTTGCATTTGTAGGTTTTCACACGGCTTTCAGCCAAACTTAGGTGGGCTTCTGCAAGATGGGCATGGCCCTGTCGCCGGACGGGCGGTGCAAGACCTTCGACGAGTCCGCCAACGGCTTCACCCGCGCGGACGGCGCCGGGGCGATCGTCCTGGAGCTGGCATCCAAGGCACAGAAGGCCGGTTTTTCTTGAAATAGCTGCAAAGAACATAGGGGTGTGTCTCAAAGAGATTTGGATCCCTGAGAAATAGCGGTTGTCCTTTTCCTTGTGCTTTTCAACCAAGAGGAAGGGGACCTTGACAAAAGGCACCCGCACACATACATACAGACTAGACTCTAGGAACCCCTTCGGGCACCTTTTCCATCTGTCAGCCAGGCCGGCCATAGATGGTTGACTGGGGTGCTTGCTTTGCTTTTGTTGCGTGGCTACCTCAGGTAAGGTGAAAAACAGCGTTGGGGCGCCCAACCCCAAAGGCGGCATGTCACCTGAGTCCCAGAAACGGCCCACTTCCGAGGTTTTGCCTTCTGAACCAAGCCCCATTCAGCGGGGTTCCTGCATTTTCTGCGCAAACTCCTCTTTCCAAAAGAGGCAAGTGTCAAACCCTGTGGACCCTTTTTCAGAAAGATGATCAGACAGCATGTCTCCCGCGCCATGCCCGTGGTTTCCCCCCCTATCTTTAGGGTCGTGCCTTTTGCTGTAATTCTCCTTGGTGGCCTGTAGGGAATGACCGAGACCGGGTTTTAAGGGAAGGAACCGGTTTCGGGGATTCCCTTAAAGAAAGCCATAGGAAACGGATGGTTTTTCTTGGGGTCATTCCGTTTCTCATTCCCTGCCTGTCAAACCAGCAAGTCTTTTCCACGTTTTTGGAGGGGTTCCCCCCTTTAGTTGCCATGGCAACGTTCTGGGTAAATGGGGTGAGTGGGTTGCTCCGACCCTGAAACGATGAAGCCAGACCGAACACTTGCCGGTGCTCAGTGGGGAATATGGGCATGAACCCAGGCTTCGGACCCCTGAACGGAAACCTCAAGGCGACAAGGGATGGTTTTCCTTGGGGTCATTCCCTTTCGCACACCCTGCCTATCGCACACCTTCAGGCGGGCAAGCAGGAGCTGGCCATGGCCCTGGGCGTTTGCGTGAACCAGGTGGGCTGTTGGAGAAAAACCTGACACGGGTGGTCAGCCGCGTGTGAAGCAAGGCATGTGCCATGTACATGCTCTGTGTAAATTCTGAGTGCTGGTGCAGAATACAGAATGAGTGTGTTACAAATGACAAGTCAAGTGGGTGTCAGGACCGTGGACTTTCCAATTGCGAATTTCCGATGCGTGTGGGTGTGTGCATTTCCTTTTGGTTTCAAGACGGCGCGCCCCATAAATCTGCATGGCAGCGGGAAACACATGCGCCTGGCGTTAGGGTTGTTTGATATCTAAATTTTGTCTGGAAGACATGCGTGGTTCTTGTCGTATTATTTATTGATTGCTGTTAAGGGTAATGTACCGTCTTTTATGCGGTGCGTACTTGTTGTATCAAAGGAGCAACGGCAGGTGTGTGCAATCGTATATTCATCTCTATGCTGTGTGTTTGCTTGTATACTGTATGCATACAGAAGACGGGCACATACACCGGCGCGCAAGACATACGGACCCTCACCAACAGGCACACACGCATGTAACCATGTACACACATATATATATATATGCGCATCGCATCATATTCACCTGCACTGGTTTGCTTATATGCAAGTATGCACACACACATAGACACGGTGCAGATTTGTATTGGACTATGATATTGATATATTTGTCCACCCTCGGAGCCCAAGGCGCTAAACATGAGAGCCTTTGACTCCCGAGTCCTCAAGCAGTGCCCTTCGCGATATATAACACGTACAATATGTATACACTAGATGTTTGTTTCTACATTTTTCCATATATACATAGGTGTTACTATATATTTGTACTAGATGTTAATATATACATATATACATATATATATATATATACACATCACGTATAGTGACGCCTGGCATTCCCGTGTCATCCGCAGGACGGGCGCTCCGCCACCATCACGGCGCCCAGCGGCCCTGCTCAGCAGCGCTGCATCAACGCCTCGCTGCAGGTGGGGCCCATGGGGACGGCCACGAGTGAAGTACCCATACTGTGGATGGGCGAAATCCATTTCGCAGCACCTAAGAAACCCAGGCAGTATACGTCCCCCCCGTAAATACGAAAAAATAAAAAAGAAAAGAAAAACACCGGTTTCTTATGGTTTCAATGTGGTGCAAGATTTCGTCCATCCACAGTAGTATGTCCAACCAACTTCGGACAGACCTTTGGCTAGGGGACCAACTCTGGTGTTTACGAAGTAGCGAAAGGGCGTCCAAGTATCCGGACCCTAAAGGGGTTGTAAACGGGTTCTGATCGCTTGTGCGTTACGTCCAAAAGGATTTCATCTGTTAGAAAGCAATTTGGAGTCATCCAAATACCCTATCTAGGTTCCTCCAGAAGTGGAAGCAACTGCAATAGAACACTTTGGGACGAGGGGTTGACACCTAGAGTCATTCTGCAGACTCAACCCCTAGAGAAAACAGGAAGCAAAAAACCCAAAGATGGTTGCGAAATAGGCTGTGCATGTGTCCCTACAGGGAAGAGCCAGGGAAGTCCGATTATACGAGATCAAAATGGACCCAGTCCCCTTCCTTTTTTGGGGTTCCCAGCTCACGTCAAGGAACCACCCAAACTGTCACATGATTCAGAGCGCCACAGCGGCCATTGGTAACTTTACTTGCCAGGGAAATCTAATGACTGCACCTCCCCCTTTTTCAATTTGGGTGAACAGCGCCTTACCAAGATACACAGCTGAGAAAGGTAAACCTGGGAAGCCATTCATATTCAGGTTGGCGAATTGCAACTCCGCCAGGTGGTAGAGTACATTCCTATTTGCAATTGCTGGGCTGGGCGGTTGTATGGCTGTCCCAAAAAGCAACCAATGACCACAACAAACGGTGGAGTCCTGGTACGCCAAGAACAACTGAATGTTCTTTGCAGGGCGCACTTAAAGAGGCCCAAACCAAAGAAGCAAGCAAACCCACACAACCTGCCAAGCAAAAGTCAATTGGGCGAACTTGGGGAAGACCCTGTATGCTTATTGTAAACGCTTCGCGTTGCCCGCCTCGGCCCAGCCTAGTTTGAGGGAAGGGTCAGGAACACCGAAATCCAGTGTTGGGAAGGTCCGAATCCTACTGAAAGCTTGTGACCGCACCAGTTCGCCCGTGCTAGTTCGATGTTCGGAAGCCGTCCTGCTCGGAAGGTTTGAAATCCAAAACCAAGACTATCTCAGCTGCTCAGTGCCCTTGGAAAAAAAAGGACCTCTTTCTGGGGATGAGCATTTTTAGTGGGGCTTGGCCTCCATAAAAAGGGGAACAATAATTGGTGTCACTGAACAACCAAGACCAACTTTGGGTGTTTGGGCACCTCCATTTCACGTGGCTGGCGGCTTGCCATGACATACATTTCTTGCTCGGTTGCTCAGCCCAAGACAGGTACATGGTGGGAATACAAACCTCCATTTGCTTAAGTACCCCGGAAAAATATCCCCAATTGGGCTGGGCCTTGAGGCCAGTCGCAGACACGTAAGACACGCCAGCAGGCGGGCTGAGGGACTGGGCCTGAGGCTAGTCTCGGGCTGGCATACTTTGAGACCAGGCTCAGACTGCGCCGAAGGGGCTGGGGCTGCTGGATGCCTTGGGGCCAGACGCGAGCAGGAGGTCAAGGCCTGGCCAGCCTGGGCTGAGCTGCTTGGGCAGCCGGACTGAGGGGCTGGGGCACGTCAGAGAGGCTTAGTAGCTGGCATGGCTTGGGACCAGTCTCAGACACGTGTTGGCTGAGGCCTGACCTTGGCACGCTGGCTGTTGCTGGGAGCTGGGGGCCGGCCTGATGGGCAAGGCCTGTTTCATACACACTTGGGCCTGAGGCTGGGTGGCGAGTTGCTGGCTGGGCTGGGCCTGAGGCCAGTCGCAGACACGTAAGACACGCCAGCAGGCGGGCTGAGGGACTGGGCCTGAGGCTAGTCTTGAGACCAGTGTCAGACTGCGCCGAAGGGGCTGGGCTAGACGCGAGCAGGAGCACGTCAGACAGGCTTAGTAGCTGGCGTAGCTTGAGACCAGTCTCAGACACGTGAGACTGGTCGTTGGCCTGAGGCCAGTCTCAGACACGTTAGACAAACCGACCTTTGGCACGCTGGGCTGAGCCTGGGAGCTGGGGGCCGGCCTAGTGGGCCTGCTAGGCCTGTTTTGCCTGAGGCTGGGTGGGCTGGGCTGACAGGCCTGGCCAGCAGGCGGGTTGCTGGTTGGGCTGGGCCTGAGCCTAGTCTCAGACACGTCAGACAGGCCTGGCCAGCAGGAGGTCATGCTTTTCAGGACAAAAAAGCAGTTTTTTTAGTGATTTCGCAATTGTCAGCACATTTTCGACAAAAATGGACCCATGGAGCTGGACGCCGACGAACCCCGAAAATTTCAAGGCCCGCCGGACAGGATTTTGGATGGGTGGGGGGGGGTGGGGGGGGGGGGCGGCCCGGCAAAATTTTGGTTGGGGAGGGGGTTGGGGAGGGGAGAAGCGAAGATTCTCTTTGGAGAAGAGATCTGAGCGCCCTTGGCCCCTTTGGGGCCGAGGCGAATTTTTGGTAACAAGGGAAGCAACAGAAAGGGAATCAACTGGGCTTCACCTCCTTCAAAAAAGGCAGCTGCTGTTTCCACTTGCTTTCCACCTCCCCCCCGAAAAAAAAAAACACACAAGAAAAACAAGAAAAGCAACAAAAAACATACAAGCACCATTACATTCATTAGAGTTTTTGTAGGGTACTTTAACACCATTAGTCATAGGAGAATATGCTATATAAGATTTTAGCTATTTGTCTTGTTCTCAAAGTTGCTTGATGATAGCCATACTTGTCCAGCCCAGCCCTTGTCTTTTCAACTCCGGTAGCTTCACACTCCGCCAGGAGGCAGACGTCAAGGGCCTGGAGGTGTCCCTAGTGGAGGTTCATGGCACGGGGACAGCCCTCGGGGATCCCATCGAAGTGGGCGGCATGTGCCTCGACGACAAAATCGGGCAGGGCAGGTTTTCGGTGGGATTTGGGAAAATCGGTTTGGTTTTTGCGGGTGTAGGGATGTTGTGGGTTGTGGGGCGCTTCGGGCTTACCGAGAGTGAGACCTGTTTGTCATTCCAAGACATGCAAAGCCATCCAAACCCATTGGTATTTTCCGAGGAAGCGCCAATGATTGGCTCTCGTCCAAAGTTTACGAATATTTTTCCGAGAATTTATGGCATTGTCTCTTATTTGGATGTTTAACCCACTGTTGTGGGGACTAACCCCAGCTGCCCCAGTTCTAATCATGGATTTCATTCGAAGTTGTCAGACATTTGGCCCACCGGAAGCTGCCCGACTGCCTGGCTGAGGAAGAGCACCCTGGGCAAGGGCCGGTTGGAGGACAGGGTCCGTCCAATCCATTGGTTTTCACTGGGCGAATGGGGGTCCCTCAGGTTCTTGTTTGACGGTACTCTCCCAAAAGAGCAGCTTTACTGGAAGGCACCCATAAAAGTGTCTGGGGAATTTAGTAACCCCTTGGTTGAGCATGTCTTTTTTGAACTGGTACCCTTGGTTTTTGTTCCAGGGATGAAGGCCCACATCTTGGTGACATTTTTTGCCAGACTACCTCAACATGCGGTCTATAAGCTCCAGGGTCCTTTCTCAGGCCAGCCCCGTCGCCCATGTCAGTCGTTTGGAGTCCTCGCCGCAACATCGCGAGCTTGGGGGGGGGGGGGGAAGCCCACTCAGGAAGGCCCCTACTTTGCCCATGCTCGGGTTGCTTGTACAGGTTTTCGACCGGACCCCCGCGCCCCCATGTTATGCACAAGCCCCGGGTTTTCTGGACCGAGGGTCCGCCAGGACAATCCCTTGGTCCTGGCGGCCGCCAAGTCCATCCTCGGGCACACCGAGGGCTCCGCCGGGGTGGCGGGGCTCATCAAGATGGTGGCGGAGTTCAATCACAGGCCTTGCGAAAGTCCAGTGATTTCCCCCCCCCCCACACACACACACCCACCCACATATCCGCCCGGGAAGACTAAGACAGACCAAGAGTTTGGCGTGTGTTTGGGGTGTGGCGTGTTTTTTGGGGTGGGCGATAGGAGCAGGTTTATGACCAATGGATTGAAACAAACTGGAGATTTTCGGAGGCTCCCTTTGGGTGTGTATCTGAGAATAGAGGTCCACTAAGTTTGCTTAGTGTTTCTGCAAATAGGGTTTGGGCCTGATTTAGGACTGGTCGGAGGTTCCCCGTGTTGGGGATGGTGACCTGTGGACAGCTTCATCTTGATGGAAACGGTTATTTGGGAAGCCGCCATCAGCGAAGTCGCTGCCGCCTAGACATTTGAGAGGACTTGTGGATCCTTTTGCTTCTCAAATCTGGTAAGGCGATTGGGATGTTCAGCTAGGTCGCCTCCCAAGCAAGACATTTGTTTTCCTGATGGGATGGCAAGCACGTTTCTGTTCTGCCATTTCTGACAGATCAGTCGGAAGACCAAGATCGAAGCGCGTTTTCGGGGCCAGGGCGTTGCCGAATAATACAAACCTGGAATCGTACAGCTGGTGCCTGGAAAAGGATATCTGCAAAGTTGTTTTTGTGGTCCTTGCGTTTTTTTGTATGTGGTCCCTGCGGTGTTTGTTTGTGGCGTCGTAGGATTGTGCCGAAGAACCTCCACTTGAAGAACATGAATCCCAACATCGACCTCACCGACTTCCCGGTCATCATGCCCAGCAGCATCATCGACTGGAAGGCATGGGCAAAATTGGTCTCAGTCACCGGTGTCAACGTGGGCACTCATGATCTACTTCATTCCTGGGCGGCTCCATTCTGCATGTCTGCTGAACAGGTTTTCATGCAATTGGTGGACGATAGGGGTTGATACATGGTTTAAACAGGTGGTAAACCACAGGGCCCAAAAATCCCACACGATCCATGTCAGCATTTTTACCAACACTTGGCCCATGATATTTGGAACATGTGGGAAAATGCTACATTGGGGTTGATCAACATGTTCTTTACATGGGATGACTCTGACCATGGGTTGGAAAGCCACGGAAAAAAAGAAAGAACATATAAAAGGAGAAACACGATTCGATATTTCAACCACCTGGGAAAAGTTCCGCTTGGTCAAAACTGGGGGCCCTAAATGGAACCCCCCCCCCCACACGGATTCTGTGGGGATAGGTGGCTAGACATCTTCAGCGATCAGGTCTCCCGCGCGGTGGCGGGCACCTCCTCCTTCGGCTTCTCGGGAACCAACAGCCACGGCACCCTGGAGGCCAGGGATCCCAAAAAAACCCTCGGGGCTTGGGGCTTGGTGTGCGTGCGGGTGGGGGGGGGGAAAACACGCCCCCGATTGGTGGAAGTTCTGTCAAATCCGATTTGGGATGAGGGAATCGGGACCGCTTCTTGAAAGTGATCAGGAGGGAATCAGGGACTTTGGTAGAACAGCTCGGGTTCCATTCGTGGCCAGTTGGGGGGCTCTCTTGGTTTTGTGTATTTTTCGACCAGAAGCGAGGATCGTTCTGTTGCAAGACACCACAAATTCGGCAAATTCGCAACGAGGCGCCCGGAAATGGCGAGGGCAAGAACGTGGCCTTGGAGAGGCCGGAGAGGCTATCTTGGAGCCTCAGATTTGGAGATCTCTGACGCTTCCGCTTTCCGCGCGCCGATTTCCCCGCAGAACCGAAATTTTTGGGTGCCGCCAGAGGATTCAGAGGATTCATGCCGAAGCTTAGGCATCCACCCTTCAGATTCTTGTGGGTCGTAAGTCTTAAGTATTGCTTTGGTATCTTTGGTCTAAGTTCTCAGCCGTGTGTCAAAATAGTTCAGGGACCCCCAAAATCGGTTCGTTCCCTTTTGGCTTGGTCCGCATTTGATTTAGCTTCCTGTTTTGTTATTCGAACGAACCACAAGAGGGTTCCCAAAAAAGCATGCGCAGATCTCTGAGGAATCCCAGGCTGTCATTTGCTGCTTTCTTTTTCTGGTCCGAGGAACCGCACCCATCACCGGATGTACCACGAGTGGTCGGAGGCAGGGTGGTTTCCACATGACGCAAAGCATTCTTCAACCTCTCTCTCCCTTGAGAAATCCACAGAGATATGAGAGAAGCGCCACAAAAACTTGGGGTTTGCTTGCACCAGCCACGCAGGGCCTCTGGTTCTCCCTGGAGTGGCGAGCTTTGGCGGTGCAGAAGTCGGATCTCCCGCTGCCCTGCCTGGTGCTGGGAACCGGAGCCCTGGCGAAGGCCCGGCCCTGGCGAAGGTCCCCAAAACGACACGCCCCGCATGTGGCTCAAAAAGCTTCCTTGAGGGGAAGAAAAAAAGCCAAGAGGAATTTTAAGTGGATATTTTCCAGAAAAGGGGCCTGCTAGCATGCCAGGGTTGCGAACAGCCTTCTCATTCGCACGAGCTCACGAGCTCACCTGATGGGGTAAAACATGACTTGCCCACTTCAAATTCTGGCTGACTTCTGCACGTGGAACCCGAAAAAGGGGTCTGCGCAAAAGGAGATTTGATCCTCTATATGTTGTGTTCGATTTGTTTTGCTTCGGTTCCACGATGATTTGGGTATGGGTCAAAATGAAACCACCAGCGGACCGCAAGTATTGGTCCATGTTTCCACTTACCAGGGCAACCTATTTTGGGTACACATTTTTGACCCACAGCCATTTGACACGGCATATCTTTTGCAGGCCCTGCAGCCCCTGCTGGGCGACTGCGATCTTGCGGAGAGCGCTGACGCGCTGCAGCGCAAGAGCTTCAAGTCGGCGGCTTGCCCATCCGTTGCCGGGATTTTCAGAGGGAACGCGTTTGCCCGATTTTATTTATTTGTTCAGCTATATATTTTTGTCTATTCATTTATTTATTTAGTTAGTTATTCATTCGTTCGTTCATTCATTCATGCATGCATGCATGCATGCATGCATGCATGCATTCATTCATTCATTCATTCATTCATTCATGCATGCATGCATTCATTCATTCATTTCTTTCTTTCTTTTCATTTCATTTCATTTCATTTCATTTCATTTCATTTCATTTCATGTCATTTCATTTCATTTCATTTCATTTCGTTTCGTTTCGTTTCGTTTCGTTTCGTTTCGTTTCGTTTCATTTCATTTCATTTCATTTCATTTCATTCATTCATTCATTCATTCATTCATTCATTCATTCATTCATTCATTCATTCATTCATTCATTCATTCATTCATTCATTCATTCATTCATTCATTCATTCATTCATTCATTCATTCATTCATTCATTCATTCATTCATTCATTCATTCATTCATTTATTGTTTTATGCATCCATTCATATCTGTTTTTGAATTTGTTTTTATGTTTCAATTTCATGGTTTGTTCATTTACTTATTCATTTATTTATTTATTTGTTTATTTATGTGTTTTAATTGTTTTATGGTTTAATTTCATTTCTTTTTCTTTCTTTTTTATATTTATTTGTTTATTTATGTGTTTATTTGTTTATTATTTATTTGTTTAGTTATTCATTTCTTCATTTATTTATTTATTTATTTATTTATTTATTTATTCATTTATTTATTTATGTGTTTATGTGTTTATTGTTTATTTGTTTAGTTATTCATTTCTTTCTTTATTTATTTGTTTATTTGTCTGTTTGTTTGTTTGTTTATTTATTTATTTATTTATTTATTTAATATTATTATTTACCAAATAGCAGAGGTTCTCACTGGGAAAAGTAGGGCATTCCTGTTTGGCGTGGTTTCTGGAATGATGATAGTTCCCTTTGTGGAAGTGTTTGGGCGTGACTTTTTTTGCGGGTGCCCTTCTTGTTTGTTTGCCGTTGTTGGGCATCCAGTGGTTTTTTTAAGCTAACCCCTGGGGCTTATCCACGGTTGACCAGTTTGTTAGTTGGTTGGCTGGCTGGCTGGTTGGTTGGTTGAACCTCTACATTTTAGAGCCAACGCTCAAGGGTAAACAATTTTTCTTTGGAGTGCCCTTGCTGCTTCCTTCCCCTTCCTGAGGTGCTTTTCTTGGATCCGGCCACCTGCGAGGACCGATTTTGGCCAAGCTTCGGGGTGCCACGGGTGTGTCTTTTTTTAGAAAAGGAACCTCCAAAATGGGTGGGTGGTCCTCTTGGTTTCCCTAAAATAAACACTAAACAAAAGGGTACCCTCAAAAGATTTACCCACAGGAGCGGCCCTGGACAAGAATCCCTGAAGTGGGAAAGTGGGGTTTGGGGAATCTGGCTCTGGGTGATACCGACCGGATTCGGATGTTGGATTCAAATCCAGCTGCATCACTCATGGAACCCACCAGAGCGCTTTTTGCGGATTTCCTTCCAGGAATGCTCCCAATCAGATTCCATGAGCGTGCCACAACCAGCGTTCCACTTTCTGCTTCCCCCCCGAAAACCAACCTGGGTTGCCTAATGGACACCTTGTGAGTTTCTGTCAGATTTCGGAAGCCTCTAAGAGATGGTTTAGATTAGAAATCAAACATCAACCCACGAGGTCCCTTGATACCTCCTCTTTTCGGCGAGGACCCCACGCTCACAGGGTCAACTTTGCCTCGGCTCCTGGAGCTGTGCCAAAGTTTGGAGTCTCAGCGTCTGGTGGTTGCCACCTGCTCCCAGGCACGCTGACCCAGTCCGGTCGCCGCTGTGAACTCAAATGAAAGACGAGGCATGCTTTTGCACTTTGCGGACTTCCGTCAAGGGAGGGGTCTCTCTGTTTCTTTTTTTTGTTGGCGGGCCCACACTTTTGGGAGTTCGTGGGAATTGGAAAGGAACACCAGCAGTTCGGAGAGGGTTCCCGATTTGAGGCAAAGATGGGCTGGAATTACTCATTGCTTGTTCACTGTCAAGCAACTAACTTGTATATGTCCGAATCATAATAGCATGACTCTATTGTCTATGGCAATGTGTCCATATATATGTCTATATGTGTATATATATATATATATTACTTGCTTCCCTCTGTTATTATATCCCGTCCCCCCCCCCCCCCTCCCCACATATTTCATGGGGTCCCACAGTCCCAAAAGCCCCCTTTGCCAGGCGCAAAAGCCGTCAAACTCGAAATCTGCCACAGGAATTGCTCAAAGCACTTTTTTGGATTTGACAATTCAAACTTGGAAGGCCCAATTGCAATTTATAATTCAATTCTACAATTACAAGCAGGGACATGGGATATTTATTTTAGCTTTTTGGCCTCACAAGTGCTATTTCTGGAGGTGGATTTGATCAACAGGGGGGGAAAGGGAGCATATAAGACGTAAACATATCTCTCACGCCCCCGGCCCACCCACCCCTCCACCCCCTCTGGCGCGAGCCTTGGCGCGCCTTCCGGCTCCGGCCAGGCCTCGAAGCCCGGCACGGCGCTGCTGGGCTCTGCGGTGGCGGGGTTCCTGCGGTCCATGCCGCTGGAGAAGCCGCAGCTCAAGGCGCGGCTGGTGGACCTGCCGGGGGCCCAAACGAAGTCGCCCCCCCCGCTGAGCCATGGCGAGGCGGGTGTTTGAAATGGCTCACTGAAGCTGAGATTCGGAGTTGTAGACTTGAGTCGCTTTTTGGGATTGGAACGGTTTTTGTGGTAGATATAGAGGTGTGGTGACTTGGTTGGGACAAGCACCTCAGGAAGCGAGTTGGCCATCGATTTCTTTTGCTCTGACTCGCGCACGTGCGGGGGATTGTTTAGGGAAGAGGACCAGGCCCCCGTTGCAACAGCCAAGGGTGATGTTCACAAGGGAAATATGGAGAGCCCTGTGTTCAACCCGCGTCAGCAAGTAGATAGCTCATAACCTTCGTTACTGTGGTAACTGGGGTTACTGAGGGATATTCCCCTTAGCATTGCTATGCAAGGAACCCTATGCTTCCTAGCCTTATAAGGGAACTAAGCCCAGCTTCCCACTTGTTGTGGTTGTCACCGTTGTCGTGGGTGGGGCGGGTGGTTTCAGAGGTAATGGCGGGGAGACAGCCACATACCGCCGGGGGGAATCACCCGGACGTGTTCGTTTTTCCTTGCCCGTTGGCGGCTAACTTCCACTGCACCTGGGCCCAGGTGATAGGGGTTTAGGGACCCTGGGCAACAAGCTCCAACTAGACAATGCAAGCAACACGCCCAACAGGGAAAAAACAAAGAGCCCAAACCCACCAAACGCCGCCCGCCACTCGCCCCAAAGCTGCGTTAGATTCCCAAAGACCTTTTGGCACTTCCAAAGGGCAATTCCATTTCCAGAAGCAAGGATCATCTACTGTCCAGATACCTTTCGGGTGTGTTTTTTGTTGAGGGTGCCATTTTCACCTTGGTTGAAAGGAAGCCGAAAGGAAGACCTCCATTTCTGGGGTCCGCATTTTTGACACACCGACTGTCCGAACACGGCCACTGATGTTTTCGCTCGCCGAGGCCCGGCTCCTTTGAGTCGAGCCCGGAGACATGGGCTGAGCGCTTGCGCGATGAGCTGTCAGCCAAGGACGGGGACCGGAAAACGGAAGGGGAGGGAGGAGTTTGATTTTCAGAGTGGAAGTCTGCCTTTCATGTTCAACTTTGGAAGATCAGCTGTGCACTGGGACCCCCACCCCCTTCTCCTGTTCTTCCCCCTCCGAAAGCCGACGGGTTTGCACTTTGTGCTTGCGCATTGCGGGCATTGGTATGAAAATTGCCTAGCTTCATTCCAAGCAGTGCAATTTGGCAGCCTGCACTTTTTCGGCAAGCCTTGTTCATGCACCTGGAACCTGAAGCTGCTTCCAGCTTTCCTAAGTGCCAAGGCAGTGGCGACATCAGGCAGTTGCTTTTGCTGCTGCGTTCTCAGCCTTGGCACTCGCCAAAAGAAGCACCCCACAGGACCGATCATGTGTGAAATCGGCAGGGCCAGACTGGTAGTGTTGCCCAGCTCCCAGGGCAATGTGATTGTCTCCTGCCTTCTGGCAACTGACACAACGATTGATAGTCCATTGTCACTTTTGGGAGGACTTGGGCCACCGAAAAGTATCCCACCAAAACCAATGTCTGCCATAGCCCCCAGTTCTGACCCCACTAGCCCCAGTTTCCCCAGTTCCAACCATTCAGCGCCTTGACGTGGAGTTCCCAAGTCGCCTTCGGCCGCGCGCCGAAGCCGCCTAGGACCTGGAGCGAGAGGTGGCCTTCGGGGAGGACTTGGAGCGCCAGGTGCCGCGCCTGGCGAAGTTCAAGCTGAAGCCCGGGGCAGCTCGGCCGACTCGGCCGACTAAAAAACGGCCAGGTGGCGATTCTGTGGATTTACCCCCAGTAGGATATGAAAAAAAAGTGAGTACCAACAGATGACTAAAGAGGGACCTGAACGGAAAGAAGAACAAGTGACGTCTCCATAAAGCGCATCCAAACCGTTTTCTAGATCGGGGTGTGTCTTTTGGGGTGCTGTTTGGGGTGCTGGTGACGGTGGGGGCGCATTTTGTCGAGATTGACGGCAGGGGCTGTTTTTGGGGGCCTTGAAGTGGACCAGCAAATCCCCGCACACGGGGAATCTCTTCAACGAAAACCTCCAAACCAGGCTGAGCAGCCTCAAAAGGGAGGATCCTTTGTATGTATATGGGACCTCTTGATCACCCCCCAAATGATTTTTGCTTCGTTTCGCACTGCACAAAAAATATGCATTCTTGAACCCCTTTGGGCAGAGCCTGTGAGCCATCCTTCGAATGAACCACCCGAATGAACCACCCGAGGTGACGCTGATGGACCATCCCCAGAAGACTCAGCTGGTCACCGGCGGCCTCGGCGGCCTCGGCCTCGTCACCGCCCACGCCCTGGCGGAGCCCCGATTCGAACACGGCCGGGGGCCGGAGGTCCGTGCTCCAGGGTTTGGAGGTTTTGGACCCACCCAAAACAAAGGACCATGGGGTCAAAATCCAAGTCGTACCCCCAGTGAACCTCCCAATCCCCACAAGAATAGGTTCCAAAATGGGTGGTGAATTCACCTACCAACCAAAATGGTACCAAAACGGTTTTGATCCGCCAAATACGCGAAGCAAGGAACTCTCAAAAGGGAAAGGGACCAACGTTCAAGAAAGGAACCCTGAGCAGGAAGCCAGAGTTAAACAGGAACCCGGTGCAGTGGCAGTTTGAAGGCTCACGTTTAAGGGCAAACTGTAAGGAACCCTGGCCTAAGACATCCTCACGAACTCACTTAGGGGGGGGGGATTGAAATGGACCCCCCCACCCAAAAAGTAATTTTCAAGATTCCTGAGACCATCAAGAACAACAAAGCCAAACATCATGCGGTTGGACCATCTGCAAATTGGTTTCTTTGTGTGGTTTTCGAGGACCCTGTAAGGGACCCCTTTCTAATTGCGGAAGTGCACCCTTGTGGCCGATTCGAAATTATCTTCAGGAGTCTTCCTGTCCGGTTCCATGATTGTTGGAAAGAGGCTTCGCAGTACATATGGTGTTTTTTCTTTGGGGGGGGATGTCCAGTGTACTTGGATGTTCCACTTGACTGATAGGCAGATAGGCTATAGCCACGGTTGCACCTAGGTAACTGGGTGGGTTTCCTTCGAAGCATCAGCGGGGACTGACACCCAGAGAATGCCAGCTCGCAAGCCCAGTGTCCGATAGGGAAAGGGGGAGGAATGCCCCTGTCCCCCTTTGGAAACCGTGGAAATGGGCCGGCTGGTGCTGCCAGAACCTCAAAAACCGTAGAAAAGGGGCCCGTAGATCTCAACAGGTTTGCGCCCCAGTGAAATTACACACCCGCCGACAGCCCGGGCTTGAGCATAGGAAATAGCGCTTTGTTCGAGTTTGGTAGCGGAGCGCCTTGCTTCGCCGTCTAGGCTACCGAGGCCAATCCGGCCGGCTGCGCCATTTCGCAGCCTCGGCGGCTTCGCCGCTGGTGCATGAGCATCTCGGAGGTGATCTTCACCCACGACGAGAATCGGCACCTCGCTCTCAAGGAGCTGGACGGTGCCTTCGTATCACCGCCTAAGAGCACGTGGCGGTTGGCGAGGTCTAGGCGGCGGAGACCGGGGACCGAGCCACAACCTTCGCTCACTGGAAGAAGAACCAAGCTGATCCACTTCGCCCTCTTGCTCTACAGCCTCATCGTGGCAGGCATGGCGATGCCCTCCGGCGGCGGAGGAATACCACTGACAGAGTTCCGGCGAGACCTTCCTCCTGGATGGGAACCAGGAGATCCGAACTACACGCTGACCACCTACTTCCAGCGACTTCGACTGTGGTATCGCCAGACGGAGGTGCCCGATGAGTGCGTGGGCCCCATCGTGGCCGGGAGGCTCGGGCCACGAGCTCAAAGAGTGGCCCTTGAGCTCAGGCTTGTCAGGCCTGACGGCCAGGTGGACGTGGGCGACGCGGCACTGGTTCGCCTGAGCGTGGACGAAGTCAGAGATCCGGCTGACCCCACGCAGATCCTCCAGCATGCAATCCCGAGTGGAGTGCAAGCACTTTGCAATGCGCTCCGAGCTGCTTTTGGCCAGACGGATGAGCAGCTCCTCACGAAGGCGCTGGAAGCCTTCTTTGACTTCAAGAGGAAGAACGCCATGACGTTGCAGGAGTTCTCACTGGAGTGGGACTTGCGGTTTGAGGAGGCGCAGACGCGAGCAGGCCTGGACATGAACATGGTGGGTCGATCGTACCTCTGGCTGAAGCAGAGCAACATGAGCCAGAAGTTCTGCGATGACCTCAAACTGCAGGTGCAGGGCGACATGTCCCGTTTCAATGACATCAGGACCCTGGCACTGCGGCTTGCTCACCAACACGCAGATGGACACAAGGGGGACATCTTCTATGGCGAGGACTCCCGCACCGAGGAGCACGAGATGGACCCCAACAGCGAGGACTACTTCGATTACCAGGCCGCTGACTCGATGTACTACTGGTACGATGGAGATGATTGGTGGAGTCCTGACCACGACTACCAGGACTACTTCGAGGACTACACTACCGAGGACTGGTGGTACGATGAGTCTGAGTGGCAGGGAGATGCAACTGCGGACCAAGCCACCTCATGGACGGCAGACTTCGACAAGCCCGACTCGGAGAACCAAGACCCAGAGAATGCGGAGGTCTATGGCAAGGGCTTCAACAAGGGCAAAGGCAACGCAGGCTGTTTTGTCTGCGGATCCCGTTGGCATCTCGCTGCAAATTGCCCGGCCAGAGAGTCCTTCGGCAAGGGCAAGGACAAGGGCAAGGACAAAGGCAAATGGAGGCCGAAAGGCAAGGGACGTGGCTACCGACCCAAAGGCAAGGGCAAGGGGAAGTCCAAGGGCAAGTTCAAGGGCAAGTATAGTGGCCCACGATACTACACCGAGACCAACGAGATGAACCAGGTGAGACATGCCCGAGAAGGACTTACGCTGACCACGTCCTCCCCTTCCGGACCACCACAGCCATCATCATTCAGACCTCACGCACCACCATCACGTGATCTGCAGCAGAACCAGAAGACCTCAAGCGTTGGTCAAGGAGAACACATGGAGGACCTCTTCGTTCGACCGCGACCACAACCACTATCCAGTTCGACAGAAGCCGATGCCAGCGATTCCGCAAACAGAGGAGCCAAGAACCTCAGCTTCTCCTTCCACGTTGGCCTCTACAAGACCGGTGGCGACAGCGTCGATGAGGTCTACCATACAGTCGGCGGCCATCGCCGACGAGGACTCATCATCGACCCCGGAGCAGCCAACAGCCTGGTTGGCACGGAGACTTTGAGGGATCTGGTCGACCACTGCGACCAGTCCAGCGTCATCAAAACGAGCATGCAGTGGCAGGAGAAGCAAGCGGAGGTCACTGGCATCTCGGGCCAGTCAGACCCTATCTTGGGCCAGGTCACTATGCCACTCCCGATGTTCGAGGAACTGCGCGAGGCAACATACACCGCGGACGTCATCGGGGGCAACGCCTCACTATGTCCGGCGCTGGTGGGGAACCCAGGTTTGGTAGGCATGAGAGCCGTGATAGCCTCTGCCTGGTTCCAGAACAACGACGGCCTGCTCATCTTACCCACGGACAAGGGGATGAAGACCTTCAGTCTCTATAGGCTGTTGTTGACGGACTCCAAGCACTATTTGCTGCCAGTTGACGGCAAGATGCACTCAGAGAATGAGGAGCACCGCAAGGCAGCCACCTTCCTCTCCAAAGTCCAGGAGCAGTCCGCGAAGATATGGTCGGACACGAAGTACAGTGTCTGGCACTCTGATGGAAAGAGCCCAGGACGGAAGCGGAGTGAACTTCATGAACTACCACCTGGAAAGCAAGAGCACCTCTCCATCGTGGACGGCACGGACCTGGAACCCGAGGACTACTGGACGGTGGACTTCGGTGATGACGGACCGATCAGGGTCACAAGAGTCCATCGACGACCGAGGATGGCATTCTTTTTGCCCACGGACGTGGAGTTACCTCCAGGCGTAGAAGCCGACCTACTACAAGATGGGAGATCCACAGAAGTGCAGCCACGAGACGGTCAACCAGCCCACGACGTCTTCGACAACTGGCGCACCAACAATCCCGTGAATCCCTTCACTTGGACCGGCTTCACGCACTTCACACTTCGAGAGGACACCACTCATGCAGCACCGTCACCGGAACCGGAGTCACCTGACTCTCCACCGGGAGCAGACCACAGCAACCCCAAGGACAACCAGCACGACCAGAGCCACAAGGACTACCATCGCACTGCCCCAGATGAGTGCTACTTCAACTTGCCATCTGCCTACCCCGGAGATGACATACCTCACGAACTACCAGCACAGAAGCAGCAGCAACTTCGGAGGCAGTACAAGTTGATGCCAGAGGAGTACTACCAGCACACCGGGAAGCGAGTCATCAAGCCCGACAACTACCACCAGTGGACGAGTTCTCGCTCACGCAAGAAGTGCAACTTCTGGGAGATCTGCTCAGGAAGCTCGCGGCTCTCCCTGTTGGCCCTTATCAGCGGGCTGATGGTTGCGTTCCCAGTAGACCTCAGATATGGCTGGGACATTGGCAACAAGCACCACCAGGAACTTCTACTACACGCTCAAGACCTGATCGATCCCGACGTGATCCTTATGTCGCCCAACTGCAGGCCTTGGTCCATCTCAGCCAATCGGAAGAAGCCAGAGGACCGTGATCGAGATCGAGAAGAAGAATTTGAGTCTCTGTGTTTTCTTCTTCGGATGGCCCAACGGCAGGCAGACAAGGGGAAAGCCTTCATCCTGGAGCAGCCCTTCTCTTCGGCTATGTGGACTCTCTCGCCTATGGCAAGGTTGAGAGACATTGAGGGATGTCGGTCAAGGCAGCGGGTTGACCAATGCATGCATGGAGCCTGCGATGAGAACCGCATTCCCATCATGAAGCCGACCGGACTGCAAGCCAACATGGCGCTGCGCAACTCGTGCAAGCGATGCCAAGGAAGACATCGCGATCACTCTCAACTTCAAGGATCAGACCACCTCGGCCGGCAGCGCACCATCATGGCGGCGGTCTACCCCCGGGGCTTCTGCAAGGCCATCATAGCCGACATCAAGAAGTTCATCGGCAAACCCAGTCGAGGACATGAGGACTACCATATCTACTACAAGTGCGACAAGTGCCGACTGGGCAGAGAAGCTCCTCCAGGGACCGAGCACAGTCTGGTGCCCAGAGAGTGCCGGCATGCATCTTCACTACCTACACCGGGGACCTCATCGGCCAAGGTCTCCAGGAATGTCACCACTACACTTCCAGACCTCATGGAGCAGTTCAAGAGGGAAGCCATGCGGCATCCTACGATCCACGACATCAAGCTCACCATGGACCATGAGATGCCGGCGATTGACACGCTCATGCTGAAGCTGCTCTTCCTGAAGGTAGTGGAGGAAGGCGTGAACATCATCGAGGCCCACAAGCAGAAGTACCGGCACTGGACGGAGGATCCGGTCTACTTAGCCATCGCTCGCAAGATCTTCAAGAAGGTCCTGGATGTGAAGGGCATCTGCTGCACCCTTCACGACGACGAGATCCCTGTTCCAATGCCGTACCTTCGCACGGCATCTGCACCGCTGCGGTTGGTCTTCAAGGGCGACGTCAAGTGCTGGACTGCCCTCACCTTGGAGGACATCAGAACGCTCAGCCAACCGCGAACCAAGATCATGCACGATGGCTGGCTGATAGCCATCTTTGGATCTGCTCCGAATGATCAAGATCACTGGGAGATCGACGAGGCTGCTGGCATACTACGGAGGCACCACGTCAAGGCGCGCCTAGACATGTTTGTGCCCACCAGCATTGCCTGCCCGATCCCCACGGAGCAGCTCACGGAAGAGAGACGAACCGTCGCAGACCCCTACGACAAGGCGGGCTCGAAGCTGGTGATCTCCGACACCTGGACACGCAGGGACAGCTATCGCCACCTCATGGGCGAAGACCGATGGACCGGAGTTACCGAGTTCAAAGTCGTCCAGGAGAAGGCCGATGAAGAGGAGATCACGGACCCGGTACAGCGCCTGGCGGAGGAATCCGAGAAGCAACAGGCTCAGGAGGAGGAAGAAGATACTACCATGGACATCGCAGAGGACGACTCGGACCAGGGTGTCATTAGAGCACCCATGAAGCCACTCTACGACTTCAGGCGAGTTCTTCACCGGCTTCCGCGACTTGCCGAGCATGACCATCTACAGGCCGAAAGGCTACTACTCGGCCTTCATGAAAGATTCTGGCACGCAGGAGTTGGCGACATGACGAACCTGCTGATCAGAGCCGGCATGCCCAAGTCAGTGATCGGCATGATCTCCAAATCAGTGGCACAATGCAAGGTCTGCAAGCGGTTCACACGGTTGCCCAACCGACCACAGGTCAAGACGGGCCACGTGACTACGTTCAACCAGGAGATCCAGGTGGACTTCTTCTTTCTCTGGGAGAACACGTTCATGCTGATCATCGACGTGGCCACCCGGTACAAGACAGCAGTCAGAGTCACGAGCCGGGAGCTGCGCCCCACTTTGAGGACGCTGATGACCAACTGGTTCAGATGGTTTGGACCTCCAAGGACCATCACCTGCGACCAGGAATCTTGCCTCATGAGTCACGAGGCAGGCGCTGAGATGGAGCGACTCAACATCCGACGGAACCCTTCCGGAACTACGAAGGGAACCGCCTCATCTCAGAAGACAGCAACCGGACTGGTCGAGAAGCATGTGGACCTGACGAAGCTGGTCATGCTGAAGACCAAGGCAGAGCTCGAGAGACAGGTCGCCGAGGTGGACTACGGCGACATTGCCATGGAAGCCGCCATGGCGCAGAACCTGACCCTCAACCTCGGTGGATACACTCCACACATGTGCGTCACAGGCGCACTGCCTTTTCCGTTCTACGACGTGGACTCTGTGGGACTGCAATCTGTCCACGGCACCACAGATCAGATGGCCATCTCCGTCTACGAGCAAGCACTACGACTCAGGCAGGCAGCGCTCACCGCAGCCACGCAGAGCATCATGGAGTCACGACTGGTGCGGGCTGGACGCACGAGACCTCAGCAAGTACCTGTCGGAGAGCTGAAGCCAGGCATCTCCGAAGTGGAGTTCCACCGCGAAGGCATGGATGACTTCGGCTGGCGAGGACCTGCTACGCTCCTCAAGATTGGGGACGGCAACGCGATCATCGAGTACCAGGGGAAACCATACCTCATTCCTCTTCGGTGTCTACGGCACTTCCGTGGAGTCTTCTTCGTTGACGAGTTGGAGGACCAGCAGAAAGAGATGGACTCCTGGAAAGCGCTGAGGAGGATCATGAAGTACGTGGAGAACCTGAGTCCCTACAAGGAGCACACTCTTGGCTACATCCACCACCACAACAAGTGGATCCAGATGCCCCGCGACATGGAGAACTCGGAACGCGAGAACCTTCTCAGCGATATCCAGACGGCGTCCAAGTTTGTCATGGACGACCAGTGTCACGGGATGCGAGCAGGAGTTGGGCTGAAGAAGCTGAATACGCCCGGCAACACCCAGGGCGTGTTGATCTGCTGGCCGAAGAACACAAATCGGCTCACGTTCCTTGAGAACCCCAACAGCAAGATCATGATCGTCAAGAAGCTCTCTAGCATGCATAGAGACGACGTGTGCATGCTCTACCTGTATCACTACGGCGACAAGCAGTTGGAGGAGGAACCACGCAGTCAACCACCACCACATCAACCTCAACCACCAGCAAGCATGGATGTGGACAACCAAGGTGCCGGACGAGCTGACAAGAGGTCTGGCACAGACACCAGGACAGTCACTTTTGGACCTGAGGCGAAGAAGCAGAAGTACGCCTACACTGACTATGGTGATCGGGTGCAAGAGGCATTCCTGTCAATGCGCCAGAGACGCTGGGAAACACAGCTACCTGCGGAAGAACCATCAGGAGATGAAGCCTCACCTTGCACTACCACCACGAATCCACCACAACAGGAGACGCCTAACTACACCACCGAGCACACCTTGACAGCCACCAACCTCTTCACCATGCACGGCACGAACGCCGACAAGTACTACGCGGACATCCGCAAGGGCGGCATCTTCAGAGTCGACACAAGCACCGACTCGATCCATGAAGACCAGGTGTACGGAATCTGGGATCAAGTTGATGCCGCGGACAAGAAAGAGGTTTCGCAATTCCTTGAGGAGAAAGCCTTCAAGAAGGTGAAGCGCTCAGATCTTGGCAAGGACGCCATATTGATCGACGCGATATGGGTGAGAAAATGGAAGAAGCAAGAAGCTTCTCGTGTGGTGAAGTCACGGCTTTGTGCTCGAGGATGCCACGACCCCTTCAAGCAGGAGATGTCGAACAGGAGCACGACGGCCACTCGACTCTCGCAACGGCTTCTGGTTATCACTGCCACAAACAAGCGGGAGCCCATTGAGAGTTGGGACGTGGCTGGAGCGTTTCTGAAGGGACTGACCTACGACAAGCTCTACAAGCGCCTCAAGGAGCTGGGCATCAAGACAGTTGAAAGGGTAGTTGCCATTGTGGTGCCAGCAAATGTTTGGAGACACCTCGGGGAGATGGACCGGGAGTTCTACCTGAAGCCAGGTGAGGAGGACGAGTACGCCCTCATCTGCCTTAAACCGGTTTATGGACTCTCAGAGGCCCCACTGGCTTGGCAACTCTACCTGCATCAGTGCCTGGCGGAGATGGGCGCGGTTCAGAGCGTCTTCGACGAGAACTACTGGGTCTGGCGACAGCCTCAACGGGATGACTCGATCATCCAATGGCCTGTCGCTAGCATCACGACTCACGTGGACGATCTGGCGGCGACCGCAGGTCAGAAGTGGCTGGACACCATGTATGCACGCATGGTGGCGAAGTTTGGGAAGCTCTCAAGGCAAGTTCTCCCTTTCGCTCATTGTGGATGCACCTACTCGCGCATCGCTGACGGCTACAAGATCGACCAAACAGACTACGTCAAGATGCTGAAGGCGCCAGAGATCGAGAAGGAGATCGCCGACGACCATCCTCTCAACCCGCAGCAGGTCACACAGCTGCGATCTGTCGTTGGCGGATTGATGTGGGCATGTGTGACACGCCCTGACATCATGGCTGAGCTGGCGCAATTGCAGGGCATCGTCACAAGGGCATGTGGACGTCACCTACATCAAGCCAAGGCCCTCGTGAAGCGAGCACAAGCTGACGCAGAAGCGTGCCTTATCTACCTACCTCTACCACGGCGACACCTTCGGCTGTTTTGCATACATGATGCTTCCGCGGCAAGTTCAACCAAGAACTATGCACAGGAAGGCGTGGTGATCTTGCTCATGGCAGACAACATCAACATGGAGAAGGAGCACTACGTGGCGGACGACAGCTTCGCTCAGAATCAGCTCTCTGGAAGAGCTCAACTGGTCTACGCCAGCAGTAACAAGGCGAAGCGGATCAGTTATTCCACGAGCCACGGGGAGACGCTAGCGGCCATCAATGGACTGGAGAACGCGACACTTCTGTCCGCTAGATTCTCCGAGATCACTACGGGAGGCAACAAGCCGAGCATACACGACCTACTTGCAGTTCAGGAACATGGAGCACGTCACTTCCCAGTAGACGCTGCCACAGACTGCAGGGACGTCTTCGAGTTGACAACAGGCCATAGGAGCCTGCCACAGGACAAGAGCCAGAGACTTTACATTCTGGCACATCGTGAAGCGCGAGCAGCTGGACGACTTCGATGGTTTGTCTTGCTGCCCACGGAATGCATGACGGCGGACAGCCTCACCAAGGTGATGCAATGTCCCAACATGATGGAGCTCCTCACGACCGGTCGGGTGAAGTTCTTCAACACCGGCCACTCCATCGAGATGAAACGTTTGCCACCGCAGACATCAGTCTCCGAGGAGGACCTGTTGGAGGGTGACAACGCCATCATCCCATCATCAGGAACACCGAGAAGGCTATAAAGGAGCTCTACGCGCACTTCGGCTGGGTATGTGCAGCAACTGCATTCGGCTTCAGCAACAAGAAGCCACTGGCACGGGCGGTTTTCTTCGCCTCAATGCTCACGCAGACAGCTGCCCATAAGACAGAGGATACAGAGGACTGGATCATGGGCTACTTCATGATCCTCGCAACGATGGGTGTGATCGCCATCACCCTTATGCTGGAGTGGTCCAGACAGTCACTCTGGACCTGGACGCACGGAAGCTCAACGTCACGGACGACTGCGAGCACACAGACGGACAACAACAAGACGCTTTTCAGTGAGCGGGAAACCGCAAATGCACGACAAGGCCCGAATGGGGCCGCAGTTTTTGTCACTAGGCATGGCACTAGGTACCATAGGAAAGGGTGCCATCACGCTCATGGCGCAACAGCCTATGAGCCATGTGGCCATTGCCTCGGCCACTGAGCCCAGGACATGAAGCGGAGTGAAATTACACACCCGCCGACAGCCCGGGCTTGAGCATAGGAAATAGCGCTTTGTTCGAGTGCCCCCTTGATAAAAGGATCCAGGTCTCTTTGAGAGGGTCTCCATGATTTGCCCCATCCCATGGTCGGTCGCTCTCTTTGAGCCATCCCCCTTTTGCAGGAAAGCCCAGCCCGACTCGAGGATTTGGGCGCCCGCACGCTGGTGCTTTGCTCACGCCGTGGTCAAGTTGCTGCGGGCGACGAGGCGAGGACGGGAGTCCGGAAGGCACAGTGGGCCCAATGATTCTGGGCAAATCACATGGAGGTGCAACAAGCTCGCCAAATGAAGGCCGTTTCCTTACTTCAGCTTTGTGAATGATAGTAAATTGTCCAGATGGTTTGGTGGGTGTCTCAGGTTTTGGCACCCTTAGAATGGTTGCTTGCCTTTGATTCCCTGTTTGAACCATCCCAACAGGGGAGGTTCACTCCAAGAAACACCCAGCGGGAACGACTTCCCAAACTCGCGTTCCTTTCCTTGGAGTCGCTTTTTTCAGGCGACAGAGTAGTTGCAGATATGGTAATCCCCATATTGGTGCAACAGATGGGTTATTTCAGTTATTGACGGACAATGAACGGAGCGAAACCCATGATCCTTCCTGATTGGGGAATTCCTTGTTTCCAGTTGGAATCATGGAGACCACACCTCTTCGCATAGTTTCCGCGGGTCAAAGCTTCACCGGTTGGGTGCCCCGAGTTAGGTCCTAGGTTCCGACAACTGGGCTCCTTCCGGATGCCACATGTTCGGGGCTTGCTGGGGCCCGTTTCTTGGAGCCCGTTCAACCGGGTCCCCTGAATCGGCGCATGCTTCCCGGCGGTGTATCGACTCCGCCTATGTCGATCGCCGGACGAACACCGCAAAGAGCCAAGAACACCTGTGGTTGGGCCGGGAGCCCCTTTGCCTGGAGAAGAAGCTGCAGACGTCCTCTTGAGGACAGCTACAGTTTCAAAAGGTTGGCTCGTCGGCTCGTCGGCTCGTCGGCTCGCGGCGACCCCTCGCAGGTCGCGCAGCAGCAGTTGGAGGAGTTGAAGGTGAAGCCCGGCGTCACTGTGGCAGCCTGGGCCTGCGCCTTGTCCGATTCAGACTGAACAGCTGGCTCGTTTTTCTTGAGGCTCGGTGCCCTGCTCACCGTGGTTTAAGGAAAACAGGAAAGCCGGACCGTTTTCAAACGGGATTCCCCTATTTTGACGTATACCGCGTGGATGTTGAACCATGCTTTCTGAAAATGTCAAGGCCCTGCTGACTGGGGAATCAAGCAACGGCGGCCTGAGTTGAGTTTCGGGGCCTGTACTGCTGACCCCTTATTCATGCACCCTCCACTTGAAGTTATTCTTCAAGGGTGCCAGAATCGTGCCTATAGGGAGTTTGCTGGCCCCTGATTCATCCCTCTATTCGCAGATACCAGGTCAAAGCACCGCTTTATTTTGAGTTGGTAGGTGATCCCTTCGCTTGGGTTTTAGCCACAAGAGCCGCGATGACTCCTTTGTGGCGGGTTGCCTTGTTTTTCCAGAGCTCCAAGCAGATTCTTCTTTGGGAAGCAAAGGCCTCCATCATTCCGACGACCTGGACAGGGTTTGCAACCACTCCGTGAAGGTTTGCTTGGAAAGAATATGGAACCCAAAGGACGGCTTTTTGGGTTCCATGTAAAAACAGCCGGGAGTAATTCGTTCGCCCCATCTGAACCCGACCGACCATACAAGGGAGGAGTTCGACAGGAGTTTGAGCGGTTGGCGGTGTGGAGACATGGAGGCGGGGGGAGGGGGGGGGAGTACACGACCTTGGTCCCTGAAATTTTGGTTTCCTGCTGGTCTACATGGCAACCTAGAACCGGACCCCCATTTTGGAGGAACATGGTCTTGCACCCCCCAAGGTTCCATCTTAGGTGGGCTGCCCGCACCTGAGGCGACGTGAGCGAGTCCGAGGACGTGGCCAAGCTGCTGCAGCGTGTGGACTCGGAGCTGAAGAGCCCCCTGGGCGGAGTGGCGCAACTTGGACGGTTTGGTTCGGAGTGGTCTGCGTGATTTGGGTCTGGGTCAAAATCAAACCACGGGACCGCAGGTTTTAGTGCTTGGTTCCATGTTGGGTACTGTTTTTGACCCACAGCCATTTAGAGCGAGCTCACCTGGGGGTTTAGTCGAGCTCGCCACGGCAAAGATCCTTTACTTTGGGAATTCCCTGCTCGGGAGGCAAGTAAAATGGCTGGTTCCCATGCTTTGCCCTCTGCAAGGATGGTGTTCGGCTCATTGTTGTTGGGGTTGGGTGCCAAATAACTCCTGATATTTGTGTCATTTTCTGATCTTTGTTTGGTTTTGCCCATGGTTCTGGGCAAGCCATAAGCCCCCCGTTTCGGGTTGGAACACGAGCTTAGCGAGTAAAACTCAGTTGGCACATAGACCCCAATTGTGGCCGACCCATTTCCTGGCAACTCTCCAATTGTGTGCTGACCGTACCAATTTGTTGGATATGCTACGTGATTGTTACTCACTCTACCCAATTACCCATCATCAAGGTCCAAGGTCCTCAGGCGATTCCTCATTTATAGCAATTGAATTGTTTAGAACTTGGCTCAGATGGTCGTGGTACCTCCACCAACCGTCTGATCGGAGGTCTTTGGAAGACTACTTTCCTTTTTGGCCAACGCCCCTGGCCGTCGATCTCTCCGCTTTTTGGTTCGATCATCACATTTTGGGGTTGCCAGTGGCGAGTCTCCTGCCCTCCCTAGAGTCCCTAGGGGTTGCCCAGGCCAAGGGTTTGGCGCGGCAGGAGCTTTTGTCAGGCAGTGCGCGGGTTGTGGGAAATCGGTTGGTTTTGGGGTCGCACATTTTGTGTGATACCAGGTGACCCCATCAAAAAGGGCGGAGCCCATCAAACATCAAGGCGGTTCCCAATTTTAGGCAGCTGTTGAGAAGCCCAGGGTTCCACAAAGGGAATTGGACTAAGGGCATGTGCGGCAAGCGTCGACCAAGGTACAATCATGTGTGCGTCCGAAACGAGCCCAGTTGTCAGGCACCATTTCACGGGTCCAATATCAAATGGCTTCCCCTTTTAGGTGTCTGATTCCCAAGTTCCTCTTTTTCCTTATTTAGGTGTCTCCTTTTAGGTCACCATTCAACCAGTCCCCCTTTTGCCTTTTGAGGCTTCCCCCTTGTTAGGTTGGCTGAACGGGAAACCCAAAGCAAAACAGCCCGAGTCGCCCCCCTAGGCACGCGGCGGGCATCATCGACTTTGTGGAGCTCAAGGCGCAGAGCGCGGAGCGGATGGCGAAGGTCTTCAAGCCCAAGGCGTGTCCGCGCTCGTCGGTTGGCGTGGTTTGCGGACCGTCAGCCTCCACTGGTGGCTTGGATTGGTGGTTTCCAACCACCAAGCCACCAATTGGGGGTGATTCTGGGTGCGTGCTTGATTTTTTGAGGGTGCCCGTCGCAGATTGGTTTGACGACGATGATGATCATGTTGGTCATGAGGATGAGTTCGCATCCCCAGCATCGTCAGCTGGCCAGATGACGACGGGTATCCTACGCCCTTTCCGTGCGCCTCCCCTTTTGGCAAGAAGTTGTCGGCACCGGCGTTGCCGGCTCTACTGGTACCGCCCCCAAGGGTCAAAGATGTCCAACGGTTCCGAAGAAAGCACTGAGGGGCCTCTGTCAACTGTGGCATCTTTCTTGAGGATTGCCTGATTTTTCCGTGATACATGTCCTCTTCCTTATTCCTGTTCCGAAAAAGGCAAAGTACAAGCGAGCGAGGGTGCACTGTTAGAACTCAGCTGCGCAGTGAGAAGGCAGGATCTGCCACGGTTCCGGCAGGGTTCCTTAGATGTGACTTTTTCTGACGGTGCCCTTGCTCCCTGATTTTGAGACGAAACCATACGCCCCCTTCAACACCCCACCGAAGAGAAGCTTGGCCAGCAAAAGGTGATGTTGAAGATACATTTGACGCGGACATGTCATGGGTTGTCTCCCTGACATTTGACGCGATCATTTGACACATTTGACACATTTGACGCGAACCTTGCTGGAAACCTCCCCACAGGAGTGTCATCAACAAATGGCACACCTATGTAGCTGGCTGTCTGGGATTCAATCGAGACTATCGGAAAAGGAGATGTAGCCTGGCAGGTGACTGGCGCCTGGAACCTGCATGAGGCGACCAAGGCCAGGGGGCACGTCTCTGGGCGCCTTCCGATGTGGATTAGTTGGATGCTGCCACGTAGTATCTGCTACTCGTAGTGACAATTTACAACATAATCAGAATGTTGTTCGTGGGCAAATTGCAACGGAGGGGGCCCGAGTTTTTTTGGTCCCAGGTTTGGTGGGCCGGGTCATGGGCACCAAACCCAGCCCTATACCAATCATGAACAACCCTAAACCCAACTCAAAATTCAGCTTTAAATCGCCCGAATGCAACCCTTAACAAACAAAACTATACCAACCCTAAACCCAACCAACCCTACACCTGCCCTAAACCAGCCCCAGCCACACTAAGCCATCCCTAGACCAACTCTGAACCCTAACCTAAACAAGCCCTAAACCAACCTGAAACCAGCACTAAACCCACTGTAAACCAGCACTAAACCCACTGTAAACCAGCACTAAACAATCCCTAAACCGGCAATAACCAACCCTAAACAAATCCCAGGCAAACCCTGTACGAACCTTAAACCCACCCGAAACCAACCCACCCTAAGCTCACCCTAAACCTAAACCAAAGCTTCTGGTGATGCCGGGGTGTTAAACACGATGCTGAGGCTGTTGACTGTGCTGGCATAGAGCAGGTGTATGTTGTTAGCACGTGCTGTAAAATACTTCATTGTGTCACCTGCCGAGCCTAGGAAAAACAAAAGAATACTCTTCCGGCTGCAACGGAGTTATTTGGACCCGCATGCGTGAGTCTGTGTGCAAGTTCCGGAATTTGCCAATGGCTCGACTCCAGGTGAGGTGTTGGAACGAGCAATGCCAGTTCCATCTTATAAATAAATATATATATATATATATATATGGCCATGTGTCAGAGCAGGTTCCAAGCGGTTGACGTCATGTTGGCTTTCCGCTGGGGTCCAACTCGCTCTTTTTGACACGTGTCTGAAACACCCAGAAATGTTTGGTCCATTAAGATGCAGGGGACAGCAGGACTCAATCAATTTAGCACCAAGCAGGACACTCACTAAGTGTTCCATGTCCCAGGTCTGAGCAAACAAGCCTTAGAAGCGCAAAAATGGGACCGAGATATTGGTTGGTTGGTTGGCTTTCTAGCTGCTTGGTGAGTTGGTTGGTTAGTTGGCTGCTTGGATGGTTGGTTGCTTGGTTGCCAGAGATTCACGGGGTGCCGACAAGACGTATGTACAATATCATCCCTGAATTGGCAAAGCAAAAATAGTGGGCGGCTTACTACCAATTATGCGGTTGTTACAGCAATCGAGGTATAGACCTTGAGATATATGACCAATGGGTTTGGGCCGTCTTGAGCTGCAAAAAGGAGGCCGCCTCCACGTGTGGGTGTTTCTTAGAATCCACAGGTGCCCAGTGAAAATCCCGTTGCGTCTTGGTGCCTGCAAAACAGAATTGGTGCTCCAGTGTTTGTGTTTACATCCTTTCGCAGGGTTGCGGGCGAGACTTCCAAACTGCATGCCATGGTTTTCTTGGTTTGGTTGCAGTTTGGCTTAGGGAAAAGAAAGACCTTGTGCCTGGGGTTTCACAAAGGGAGCAACCCAGTGGCTCGGTCGCAACTGGGTTGTGGGTCGTTACCCTTTCTTTTAATGACATCGAGAAAGGAAAGCTGAAGCCATTCTGGTGGGGGAAAAGAAAACACAGAGCCGGTCGTTTTGGAGTTGATACCTTACATGTGTTTGACCCTGGAGAAATCGGGCCAAGCGTGATGAATGGAGGACCTGGGCTTGGACTCCTTCTTGGGCTTCAGCTCTGTGTCGGCCCTCATCGGGCTGTCGCGGGGTACCAGCTACTCTGCGCCTCGACTGTCTGGACATGTCTGGACATGTATGGACTCCTTTGAGGGCCCGTGGACCTGTTTTTGTTTTTGTTTCCTTTTTTTTTTCGTTGGGGGGGGGGGAGTGGCCACGTCCAAGTTGCCTTTTCAAAGTGAAACCTAAAGGTCGAACGACCTGTTGCTGCTGTCCAAAGGCAATCTGCAAGATCTTTGCATGTAGTGGTTTTCCAAATCTGAACAGGGATTGTGGATTCTACGTTGGCAAGAGGGGTCCTAGTATATAACTTTCCTTGCTTGGGGATGGTTTAAACAACACGTTTTGGGAAGCTCAAGTTCGATGGAGTGTCCTTGGGCTCACAGAACCCAAAGAAAGTTCACAAGGAACCCTGTGAAATGAGCTGGAGGCCAGATCTGTCCCTTCGGCGTGTCTCGCTTTGGGTTTGCCTATGGTGTTGGAAGGACTCTTACATCGGCTCGGTTGTTGTCCCTTTGTCGAGCTGCAAACAAAAGTAGTTTCTAGCCCGGGTTGGACCGTTTAAGCCGGTTGCTATGTTAATGTAGCCATGATTCGACCAGGGTCAACTTGTACACAGGTCACTTCATTGTCAGATTGCGCTCTTTGTTTTTTTCTAGTAATATCATGTTTCTTTGCTTTAATTATTTTGTCTTTCCTTCTGTTTTCTTTTACTTTTCTATTGCTTGTTCCTTTTTTCCTTGCTTCTTTCCTTCCCTCCTTCCTTCCTTCCTTCCTTCCTTCCTTCCTTGCTTCCTTGCTTCCTTGCTTCCTTGCTTCCTTCTTTCTTCTGTGGGGGTCTGGGGAAGGGTGGCTTTGTTCACTTCCTTGGTCCAGGCCTCCAACGCCTACCTGGACGGCTTGAGCGCGTGGCGTTTGGGTCACCAACTCAGCGCCTGCAGCGTGCAGTGGGGCCCCGTGGCGGAGGTGGGCATGGCCAGCAAGGACCGAAGCGGTCAGATGGGTGGCTCTCGATTCCTTGTTTTTTCTCACTATCATTGTGATTTGGGTGTTGCTCCTTTTTTTTTTTTTTGGTCGATATATCCACCAAAATAGACCCATTCAAAGGGTGATGTTGGGTTTTGCTTTTGGCATCCCTGTCCACCCGAAATTGGTCCTGAGGAGTTTGTCTACAGGAAGCGAAGGGTCAGAGCTACCTTCACAGAAGCAACAGCAGTTTGTTTCCCTCTAGTTTCAAGTGGTGTTGTGCCCAAAAGAACTTCACTTCGCTGCAGGGGTTGCTCCGAGCCGTGCCTAAAAGAGGGCTTTGCAAGGGTAAAAACACACGCCGTCAACGGCGTGCTTTGGTTTCTCCAATAATCCTAGAGGCCAACACTAACTCGCTTGGTTTTGAAGAAAAAACAATGGGAGGCGGTACGGAGGCCCTTTCGGCCCAAGCAGTTGTCAGGAAGGCAAGGTTTCGATCCTTTTCAGGGTATTTCCGGATGCTAACTCCCGAAATTCGTGTGGAGCCAACACCAGATGTGAAGATATAGAGGGGATGTCCAAAATACCCTGGTCCATTATTTTCACTGTTTCGAGGGGGTTAGCAAAGTCAGGAATTGGAGTCAATTCCCTCAAGCATAGTATTTGAGGCGAGGGGTCACTTGATGGTAGAATATTGAGGCCGCCCCCCCCCGCCCGCACCCGTTTCACGAGTCTTCAGCGTCTTGGTGTCTAGGCTCGAACCACCCGACACCGCAGGACCACAGTGGTCAAGCGGATTCGGCATTGCGACAGCTGCCCCCGGGCCATGTGAAGGCGGGTGACAACAGTGGACCCGACGTGTCTCAGTTTTTTCGTACCCAAAGGAGTCAAACCTTTTGATTTTGTTCCCTTCCATGGTGTTTCAAACCGAGTGGACCCTGAGAACAATTTGGCGAGGTAGTGGATCCACCATACAGCCATGATGCAACCATGACTTATCCACTGGATGTCACAAGTGCTTTCATGGCCAGGGTCACCTGCAAGGGTCCACGCAATTGACCCTTGCTTCAAGTTGGAAGCCACATGGAGACCAACCAGTTTTGGGTTCCCCCGGTTTTAGAATGCAAACGACTTAGGCTAGTCACTAGTCAAACCATGCCGAGGAAATCCAGCAAAACACGAGCGGAACACGCGGCATGCCAGGAGTGCTCCAACTTAGGTGCAGAATGGGAATTGGGAATTGGGCACTTGGGGTACCATGACCAACTCGATGGCCCAAATGTGGTGCACCAAGTCCAATTTCCCATGTCTCGACCCCCGAACTTTGTGGAAATGTCCGCTGTTTGCCTGTTGATCTGCAGCGGCCCAGTGGGCCCTGCTGGGTCCCGTTGGAACCAACCATGAAAAAGGAATGGGACTTGCCTGTACTAATTGCTTCCACTCCACTCTTAGGTGACCTGGGGAGATAAATTGGAGATTCACTTTACAAGCCCTGGTGACCTACTTGAATGATGTCAGTTTACGTAAAATCCATGTGTTTTGAGTTGAACACAAACAAAGGACAACTGGGAGCCTCAGGGGTATTTCTCTGTTCTGCATCATGTGAGGCCCAGAAAAGTTCGAACGTTCTCTGGTCAGTCATCTGAAGAGCTCGGCCGAAGAAAGCTCCACATCCAGCACGGGCAGCCTTTTAAAAGCGAGAAGACACATCCACAATTGGAATCCGGATGTCTCAATCCTTGCACCTGCGGGTTTCGGAGGCTCCCCTCCCCGTTTCGGGCCCAGATGCCTGTAACGATACTCAGCAGTTTCAAGACCACTCACTCCCCGAGTCCCGTTTCGGACTTCCGCCACTTTTGGGTTCATGAATTCTTGTTCATGGTAAACCAATCCGTTTGGACGTTTTTGGGCCAATCCACTCAGGAATCCTCGGGAAGTGAGGCCCATTCCCCTGGCGGCCCTCCCGGGGATCGCTCGATCCGCTGGCAGGCGGCGGTGAAGATGGCCCTCTGCGCCAACGAGCACCGCCTCTGGCCCCGCAGCGCGCTGTGCTTCGCGCAGGCCGGGGGGACCCCCGGTTCCGACGCCTCGGGCGTCGGAGGTCGAAGTCTTTTTTTCGGGTTGGAAAGAGGCTTGGCTGCGGGGTGCATGTGGGTCAAAACCGTGTTGGTACCGATGTGGGGTAGGTGCACCGCCCATTATTGGAACCTATTTTAGTGGGGCTTGGGATGTTTGCTGGGGTCCCCAAAAGGAGATTCCTCCAAACTCCACAACTGAAGGGTTCTGGAGTTCTATGTCAATCTGCTCTGGTTGACCCAACTGCGAGACTTGTTTTAACTCTTCAACCGGCGGTGGAAATCCATTGGCGCTTGGAAGATGGTTGGAAGTTGGGTGGACATGGATGAACATTGGAGGTGGATGGTAGAAAATTGGAAGTGGATGGTGGTAGAAAGTTGGTCAATGAACCAAGCGGGCTTTTTGGGGAATCTCACTTGTGAGCGGCCTCTACAGCGAAGAAGCACTCGTGGTTGAGAAATGAACCACTTTGGCATCGTGGCTTAGGGAAGTCAACTGGCAACTCATTTCTTGGTTTGTCCCGTATTTTTTGGACCAGAGAACCGCGGTTTCCTATCCGGATGTGTGAAATTGGTCTGTCTCCAAGTCAGAAGGCCCTGGGCTTGGACGTTGGTGGACGTGGTTTGGTGCGCTTCTATTTTTAGTTTTTTGCCTTAAGGCATCTGTTTGCTAAAACCCGAGCCTCACTGAGGAAACCCCGGTTTTGGGGCTTCGCACAGGTCTTGGCACACCAAACCCTCGATCCTGCCCGTCACAACTCGCATCTCAGGTCGAGTGGGGCCGCTTCTTGCGGGAACTGGGTGCGGATCTCCCCATGCTCGAGGATTTTGCGGGCGAGGAAGAGGCCAGGGGGACAGCTCGGGCCTGGAAAGGGAAGGGTCCTTTGTGCTTTGATGTGGGGGTTGATCAATATTCCTGGCCCCCAAATGACCATGGTAACTTTTCCCATTTGGCAGGGAAAGTCATTTTTTCAGTGGTTGTTTGCAATGGTCATCACATGTAAAGGGCCTTTTGATCAACCCCTTGGTGCTAAGTTGCAAACCTCTTTCTGGAAGACAATCAAAGCTCAGTGAAGGGTTTTAGGAGGGGGGTGTTCTGCGATTCAGCAAGAAAAGGTGCGAATCAAGCATAAAGGACATGCGCCCCAGTCAAATTCGGGTGCAGACTGGCTATCAGGGATGGACATGGGCTGCTAATCACGTCGGACTTGAAGAATCCTCAGAGTGAGATCTCTTTGCGACAGCAGCATTCACAGCAGGAAGAACTCCAATGTGTCCCAACCCCAAGCAGTTGAGGGAACTTTCAGGTACAGCTCAGGTTTGCGAAGCCTTTTGACAGAACCTGGCAACGGGTAAACCGACTCGGTGTTCATGCTGACCCCAGAAATCGAACACTCGGCGGCCTAAAAGTGCCGGATCCGTCTAGAAAATGGGTTGCGACACACCAACCAGGGATAACCAGGGCGTGTTGGGGCGATGATGATGATGATGATGATGATGATGATGATGATGATGATGGTGGTGATGGTGATGGTGATGGTGATGGTGATGGTGATGGTGATGGTGATGGTGATGGTGATGATGATGATGATGATGATGATGATGATGATGATGATGATGATGATGATGATGATGATGATGATGATGATGATGATGATGATGATGATGATGATGATGATGATGATGATGATGTTGATGTTGATGGTGATGATGATGATGATGATGATGGTGGTGATGGTGATGGTGATGGTGATGGTGATGATGGTGGTGATGATGGTGATGATGATGATGATGATGATGATGATGATGATGATGGTGATGGTGATGGTGATGGTGATGGTGATGGATGGTGATGGTGGTGGTGATGGTGATGGCGATGGTGATGGTCATGGTGAGGGTGAGGGAGAGGGTAAGGATGAGAATGAGGATGAGGATGAGAATAGGGAGGAGGAGGAGGAGGATGAGGAGGAGGAGGAGGACGATGATGACAACAGCAGATGTGATGATTCTGGTGGCTTCAAGGATGGCGGCGACGTGTACACACATGTATATATATATATGCACATATTGTATATACATACACATATATATAAATATGTAAAGTAATATGTTGAAGATATCTATTTAGCATTTACCTACCCAAGTTCAATCATGGAACCTGACAGTTGGTCCCTGTTAGAGGAACATGGTCTTCCAGATGGTTTCTTTCAGGTTCCATGTTGTTATTTATTTTTAATACGAGGGTGCAGGACTCCTCTTTTTCCCTGAGGCCGTGGCGTCTGGAGGTGCTAAGGGTCCCGTGCTACCCTCGGCACTGCGGGGCTTGGCGCCCCACCAATTGGAGGCCAAGATTGGGGACCTGGTGCAAGGCGCGTGACACGTCGGGATGTCGGGATCCAGACCTCTGGCCAGTGGCAGCTTTCCCCCTGTTCAACCTTTTTCGGAGGCCCTTGAAAATCAAAGGCATGTGCGGCTTAGGGTTTTGTCAACAAAAGTGGGTGCACCCTTGTGCACATGGCCACTGGAGGTGTGGGGGCGGGGTGGCGGCTGTCAGGGGTGATAACATGGGGGGTGCTCCCTTACAGATAAACGTGGGACATTTAGAGCACAAGAGAGACACCGATATGGGGTTGGGAGTCCCATTTGCATTTTTGACACAGGTCACGTGCTTGTGACACGGGGAAGCTCACTTCAGAATGAGAAAGTACTAGGTTCGATGAGAACCTCACGTAGGTGTCACTGGGGTGGCGAGTCACCCGACTTGCCCCGAAAGAGAATTGCGTTGTAGGGGAAGCCACAGTGAGACCTTGTAACTTGGAGGTTCCCAGCCATCCCCTCAGCTTTTTAGCTTTTTAGCTTTTTAGGTTTAGTGGGGGTTGCCATCTAACCCACTAATTTAAGCTTTTAGCCGGGGATCTGAAAACGGACAGCCCAGAGCCCAGATGTCTTTGTTTGCCCAAGTCATTTGAGCCGCAGGCATCGCGGTGAACATTTTGGGGGTGGACGAGCTCAGTGGGGATGCCCCCCTCATGGAGGCAGGCCTCGACTCCCTGTGGCTCGGAGCGAGCGGTTTCTCGGTTTGCTTTTTGGTTGATTGGAAGGTTAGTTTCAGATCAACGAAAAGCTCCACAAGTTTTGTTTAGTCTTGGTTGATTTTTGAGCTTTGGGATTGTGGTTTCCAGCTTTCGGGGCTTTGGGTTTCTGGGGGGGGGGGGTTATGGGGGGATCTCGGCAGTTTTGGGGTTGGGTGCTTTTGGTTTGGATTTGCGAGTCTCGGGTGTGTGTGGTTTGGATTTTGGGCACAGTGCTTTTAGATTGGCGGGAGACTACGCTTTCTGTTTGTGTGTTTTAACGGAAACAGCTTGAGGCTTCTCTACAGGAAATGGCCTCGACGTCTTACTCGTGGATTACTGTGTTTTCGGTTTGGGCTCACTTGGTTCCTTTACCCTGGATTGTGGCAGTCTTCGGAGAAATCCAGAGGTCCTTTCCTCAGGAAAGGATGTGTTTGGGGGAGCTTCTCTGATTGATACCCTCCCCAATTAGTCCGAAGTGAACATTATCTTGGTGGTTCCATCCCCTTTGGTTGTTAGCTTTTTAGCAGCAGCCCAGCTATGCAACTTTGGGGCTGAAAGACGGGAGGGTGAGGGCCCTGCCATATCTAATCCAAGCTGCAAATACGCAGGATTCCTGGCAGCTTGGCGCCAGGGATCTTGAACCCCAATCCCTTTACCTAGCCTCAGCAGCTTGCCCTTGGACCGTGTTTGCCCTTCAATACGCGGATTAGCTTCCCGCCAGCTCCTGGAGTAAGAGCAGAGATCAACGGCAGCCTCTAAATCAACTAGGTCTTGGGTAAGCGCGCGAAGCGATTACAACTACTCATATATTAGGTTGGTGGCTCCAGTTTTACTTATTAGCACACCTCTTTCCTGCTCTCCTCACTGGTTTTCCTATGTCCCTTACAGGGCCCGAAAATCCGACCATGGCCGAGCCCTGGAGCCTCAGGTCCTCAGTGGACTTCCGCAACTCCGTGGCAAAAGAGCTGCCCGGGGTGAAGCTGCTCAGCGCAACCAGCTGCCGCGGGTGGACCCCAACCCTTGGTTGTTCAGCAGCCCATTTCCCTCAGCCCACCCCCCCGCCCCCCCGCCCCCGGCCCAAAAATGGTCAATCCCCGCAAAAAGAATTCTCTTTTTCTAGGGTCACTGGGCAACTGGTGACCCCATTTTGTTTCGCGCCCAAGCCCATTGTTGGCCATGTATCTAAAGGTATCCGAATATTTTTCCCTTTTAACTTTCTTCCCACTTTTTGGCCTTTGCAATGCATCCCATGCCTCGTGTTGCCAACTGCCAACTGCGAATTCGATGTCCAGCGGTCTCCGGGAAGGGAAGTTTTTCGGATTTGGGAGATTCTCCCTGGATACCAACTCCGCGCCGCCTGCCCCAATACAACTGAGAAGGGCAAAATAATGATTCGATGGATTTTTGTGTATTGTGTATTTCATCCTGGGATTGCACCCTTATGACCCAACATATTCCAAAACAGTCAAAACAGCCAAGCTTTGACTTTCTATCTTGGACCTCCAGTTCGGAACCATGGGGAGGGGGCTATCTCTTTGAACCCCCTTGTTTGGCTTCTCTTTTGCTTCTAGGCTTATCCAGGAACAAGGCCCTATGGCTTTCCTTGGTCCATCCACTGAGGCTCCCGAGCACCCTGATGTTCGACCACCCCACCACCAAAGCCATCGCGGCCTTCGCGGCGGAACAGCTGGCAGACGTGGTGCAGGTTCCCATCGGGGCTCAGGCCATCCGACGGTCCGACCGAAGAGTGCCGGGTGTGTGTCCTTTTTTGGGCAAGGAGTGACTGGGGTGACGAGTTAGGCGACTTTTGGTTGGTGCAAGCGATCGGCTTTTCTTGCTTTTTGATCGAGAAGCTGCCGGGAACCTCGGTCCCAAGAGGGAGGGAGCTAGTGATGGTCTAAAGGATATCGATGTCATGTTTACTCCAAGGGCCAACATACATATCCCAAATGGACATCCCCCACCAAGAAGGTTTTGAGGACCTGGGGTGCTTTTTGGGATATGTATATCCCATGTATAATCCACTCAGTTTGCTGTACAGCACACCCACTCATTTTTTGGGCCTTCGGACGCCTGTAAAAACCGCTCACTTCGTGGCCCAGGCCGAGTCCATGGAGAAGGCGGACTTCAGGCGGGATCGAACGTCGGAGCCAAAACCGCCGGTCGGGTGTGGATGTGGCGGATGTGCTCCGGCGGATATTTTTTTTCCGGTGGATGTAGCGGGTCTTCCGGCGGAATTCGGTGGATGCTGCCAAGCCCACCATGACGGTGACGGTGAGGCCGAAGGGGGTAACAGGGCAGGGGTCGGCATGTTTGGTTTGAGAAAGGTGTCGGCCCAGAGCGGCATGTGTCAAGTGAGGCGAACATGAGTTTGCTTTTGGGGCTTTGGTTTAGCGACCTTCTGGTTGAAGCGCCCGCATCTGCAGGCCGGGCAGGCTGCAGTCCGCCCTCCCAGTGGGGGATGGCTTCAGCAAGGCTGCGGTGGCCGTGAAAGCAGCGGCCTGTCGCTTCCCGTTGGAAGGGACCACTCCGCAGGAGACCCATAAGGCTTGGGCAGAATAAGCCCCAAAAGGAGGTTGTAAAGAGTTCAAGCGAACCAGCAAATTGGGTTTTGAAACCAAAAGGATATTATTCAAACAGTGGGTTAATTGTGTTTGAACTAAGGGATGGCCCCACCCTTAGGATGAAAATCCGGAACCCGAGTTTAGTCCGCCGGGGGTTCCCCAAGAAGTGGAACAGAAGTATCTACAGAGGGACAAATGCGTATTCTTCAACCCGGGCTTCATTCATCCTGGCGTTGAAATTGAGTGCACCTCAGAATTCGGCACACTTTGCTTTCCAAAAAAGATGGGAACATCCGCGCTTGTGGGTCGTCTTTACATTCGGTAGACGACTGAATACCAGGCTTTGAGGTGGGTGCTTGCGTTTCCCTTTGTGACCAGCTTGCACATCACCCTTGTGGCCATCTGAGAATTGTGTTTCCTTTGGAGTGATTTCTAAAGGGCACCCTCCCACTCGTTGACATGGAACCAGTCTGGGGGGTTCTGGAAGGGGTTCCATGTTGCTCGTTCCTGACATCTTCTTGTATGACCTACCACCGCGCCCGACTCCACGTTTCACTGTTTCACATGTTGCATAGCGGGCACCTTTCGAGCGTATGAAGTGCGGTTGCACTTCAGGGTTGTTAAGGTACATGATTCACCGCATGTGAAGTGGTATCGCTGCGTTTTGTGAAAATCCTCTCAGATTGTCAAAAGTCTTGAGGGCAGTCCGCACACGTGCCCGAGAAATTATGGTGGCGTTCAGCCCACCCAGATGCTTATAGATATCTTTCACCTGGATGGCCTTCTCTCCGTCTTTGCCAGTGTCATACTTGATCCACGCTTCGTATGTTTCAAGGACGCCTATCAGCCCTAGCACGCCAAGTGAGGTTTGTTTGCGCCCCAGGAGATGTGGGAGCAGTTGACCAAGAAGACCGACGGCGTGACGGAGATCCCCTTGGAGCGCTGGGATGTGGACGCCTACTTCGATGAGGATGCGGAGGTGGGAACCGGCTTCCGAGGTACCCGTTCTATGATTGCTTTAAAGGGGAACCAAAAAGAGAAGAACGGCATTTTGGGGTCCAAATCCTTATTTTGACACATACTTCAGCAAGGAACAGCAAGGTTCTATCATGACACGGGAACAGCAAAATCGAGCTGCCCATGTCATTGTCCTGAGTTCCCACTCGGATTGCATTTGGAAGGAGATTCCCTGAACAACAGCTGTTACTCTACCTCTTGAGTCATCTTTGTTTGGACCTAAATCGGTCCTAGGTTTCCGCTGCCACTACTGTTGTTTTCATGAACTACGGTTTCAAGTTTCAAGGGTAACGTGGATGGGAAAGCACCGATCGGAGCTTGGCTAAGTAGGGCTTTGTGTTTGCGCCCCAATGAAAATCAAACAAACAAACAAGCAAACAAAGAAGCAAACAAGCAGACAAACAAGCAAGGAAGCAAACAAACAAAGAAACAAACAAGCAAACAAGAAAGCAAGCAAACAACCAAACACAGGTTGTCTGCTGGTTGTACGGGATGGAATATACATAGCCCCCTTGTCAACGTGAATTGAAACAATAAACTGCAAGATCAATATTAGCATACCTTGCCGTTTTCCTCGTCAGGGGGCTCTATTTGCTTCGTCTTTTTGCCTGTTTGTTGGTTTGGTCTGATCTGGTCTAGTCTGGTCTGGTCTGGTCTGGTCTGGTCTGTCTGTCTGTTCGCTCGCTCGCTTGCTTGCTTGATTCTTGTGGGGGTTGGATTGGGTTGAGTTGGGTTGGGCGGGTTGGTTATTGGGTTGGGTTTGGTTGATTTGGTTGGTTTGGTTGGGCTTGGTTGGGTTGGGCTGGGTTGGGTTGGGTGGGCGGGTGGGTGGGTGGGTGGGTTGGTTGGTTGGGTGAGTGGGTGGGTGGGTGGGTGGGTTGGTTTCTCGTTTGTTTCTTTATTTCTCCTGTTCCGTTCGCATGATTTTCGTTTTTCTTCGCGCCAGGTGCCGGGCATGATGAGCGTGCGCCACGGTGCCTTCGTGAAGAACGCGGACCTCTTCGACAGCGCCTTCTTCGGGCTCAGCCCCGCGGAGTCCAAAGTCATGGACCCCCAGCAGCGACTGCTGCTGGAGGCGAGCCGGCCGGGCTTGGGCGAGTGGCCTTTTCTTGCTCTTTTTGTCCGGCTTGGGGGTGCCAGCTTTGCCGGCTCGAATTTCCTCTGACAGTTTCCGGGCTTCGGTGAATGCTTTGGCCACATGAGGTTCGGTCAGGAGAATCGGGAGAATATCCTGTTTGAGGTCCAGGCGAGGGGTCGCTCAATTTCCCAGGATCGCGAGTGGACGCCGGTGAGATCTTTTGTTCTGCACGAGGCCTCTATGAGTCCGGTCAGCTCTCAGGGCACGTGCTAGCGTCTAGAATTTATAATGCACTTGCCTATACCAAATGGGGAATACCCTTGAGAAGAGCTGTGGGACATCCCCAAGGGAAATATACATGTGAGCTTTTCACCCTGCTGTGACCGGCACCTGTCAGCAACCTCCAAGCCATTTGATTGTGAGAGTACCATTTTTGGGGTTGGTGTAAAGGGACACCAAGGGGAGGCCCACCTTTGAGGGTTCCAACTCCCTTTGATACAGACCCAAGTTCAGGTCATCTATCAGTCCTTCCACGCGGGGGGGCGGCCTATGAACACGCTGTCCAACCTGGACGCGGCAGTGTGTGTGGGTCAGTGCAACAACGACTGGGGGCACCTGGGCTTCAGCGGCTCCACCGAGTCTTCTGAGAAGATTGGGCCATACACCGGGCTTGCCGCACCTCGGCATCGGTTGGGTCAGGTCAAAATGGGTGGCGGCCCTTTTCGGGCGACCCTGGAAAGAAGGTGGCTCTTTGCGGACCTGACAGAAATGTGTGACGTCCCCGAGCAGTGTAGATTTACACTAGGTATGCCAAAGTGGTCTCCATCCGGGCGGCAAAAGGTCTAGCCTGATTCTTTTTTTCGAGGGTCGCATCGCACATTGTTCTTCCTGTTTCCTCGTTTGCGTGACTATATTCTTGGTATTCTACTGTGGGTTCAGGAGGACGAGAAGGGGGACCAGACACGAAGTACCCGCAGCACCCCGGGGGCCACCCAATTTTCCCATCTCCTTTTGTTTGTTGCTCATCCGGTGTTGATGGGAATGTACCCATGGGTACATTCCCATCTTATGCCCCGTGTCATTCGCCATGCGGTCGGCTTGCTGGCAATGTTAAGCGGAATCGGCCGCAGTTCTTTGCGACGAGTTTCCACGCGTCGTCACAGAGGGTACCCTCGGTTAGATCAGGAAGCTGAAGGGAAACTTTCCTCACTTCAAGAGATTCCACCACAATTCAACGGTTTTTGAATTCGGAAGTCATTCCAATTTTACAGTTTGGACAGCGTTTAACACAGATTTTGGGTCGCCGCTCAGGTGTCCACGTCCATTTCCTCCAACCGGGTGTCCTATCTGCTGGGCCTGAAGGGCCCCTCCGCTACGGTGGACACCGCCTGTTCCTCGCGGCCTCGCTGAAGGGGGGAGGGGGGGTAGGTTGGGCGCCACCTGCTTTTTCAGGGTGCCCCTTCGGGGGGATTCCAAGCCGCTAGTTCCGTCTATGGGTGGGGGGCTTTCTAGAAAGGCTCCAAAAGGGAGTTGCAGCCCAACCGGTGCAAAATAGGCCATCTGGTTGATTCTGAGTTCCTGGCACAAGTTGGGCTCGGTGATCTCTTTGTTTGCAACGTTCGCTCCCGTTCGCCAGGCAAAGAGAGCTTCAACCATGGACCAGCAACACACTTTCAGGGTCTGGTCCTGTTGGTGTCACCCGTCGCCGAAGTGTTTCGCGGTCTTGGGATTCGCATCGCAAGGGGCCTATTCCGCACGGCGGCTGTCCCGGGCAGTCCCTAGACCTTCGCTGGAACCCAGCAAGCTCAGCAGCTTCTGACATGCGATCCAGTGCGCAAGTTCCAACTTTTGAGAAACACCAGCGACCCCTGCAGGAAGCTCAACCCGCTTAGCAAGTAGGTGGCCATGGTTATGGCAGGGGTAACTGGGCTTGGTTCACCTGGCTTCCATCTATGGCTTGAGCTGAAAAAAATGGCACGGCCATTTCGTTTGTACATCTTTTTCCCTGAGGTCCTTGGTGGCGGTGGACATGGTTGCCTCCAACCTGCGGCGCGGGCGCAGCTCCTGTGGCGCGGCCGCCGGGGTGAACTTGTGCCTCATCCCCGGGCCCTTCGTGGCCTGCAGCAAGGCCCACATGCTCTCGGAGGACGGTTTCTTCTTTCGGCCGGTTCGGGTTCGGCCGATGGGTCCCGCGCGCCAAAGCGGGTGCGCGCAAGAGTGGGGTTTGGGCTTTGTGGCTATTTGGTAACGGATCTTTGGGCAACGTTTTGGTGGACACAGGTGGGATTTTTCATTGGGCCACAGCAAGTACTTTTTGCAGAGGCGTCCGCAAGCAAGAAGGGAGGGTTGGGGTTTGGTTAACTTTTTTGGTGGTCAGACGGTCAGAGTGATCATTTTGACAGCCGTTGTGCTTTTTGGCGGCACATCATGTGATAGGTCCACGTGTTTGGGCCAGGGTCTTCGGGTCAAATCGGTAAGCACTGTCGTATCAATTCAAACGAAGTATCGACATGCCCCTGGGAGGTCCGCGATCTCCACAACCATGAACTCTTCCATTGAGGGCACCAACCTGCGCGTGCGATAAACAATGGTAAGGGTGCAAAGCTGCATGCTAACCATACATAACTATTTTTGTGTATACATCAATATGTATGTATGTTGTAATGTAATGTAATGTAATGTAATGTAATGTAATGTAATGTAATGTAATGTAATGTAATGTAATGTAATGTAATGTAATGTAATGTAATGTAATGTAATGTAATGTAATGTAATGTAATGTAATGTAATGTATGTAATGTATGTAATGTATGTATTGTATGTAATGTATGTATGTATGTATGTATGTATGTATGTATGGTATGTATGTATGTAATGTAATGTATGCATGTATGCATGTATGCATGTATGCATGTATGCATGTATGCATGTATGCATGTATGCATGTATGCATGTATGCATGTATGCATGCATGTACGTACGTACGTATGTGTGTATGTATGTATGTATGTATGTATGTATGTATGTATGTATGTATGTATGTATGTATGTATGTATGTATGTATGTATGTATGTATGTATGTATGTATGTATGTAATGTATGTACGTACGTACGTACGTACGTAATGTATGTATGTATGTATGTATGTATGTATGTACGTATGTATGTATGTATGTATGTAATGTATGTATGTGTGTATGTATGTATGTATGTATGTATGTATGTATGTATGTATGTATGTATGTATGTATGTATGTATGTAACGCACGCTGCATGTATTGCACGTGAATGCATGCATGCAATGCACGGTCGTATGCATGCATGTATGTAGCTGCATGTACGCATGTACGTACGTACGTACGTAACGTATGTATGTACGTACGTGATAAAAAACACGTATGTATGTAATGTAACGTAACATGTATGTATGCATGTACGCGTAAACGTAACGAAACGTAACTAACGTGCTGTACGTACGTAACGTAATGTATGTATGTATGTAATGTATTGCATATACTGCATGTATGCGTGCATGTATGTATGTATGCGTACGTACGTACGCATGTATGTATGTATGTATGTAATGCACGCATGTAAAATATGTACGTGCTGTATGTATGTACGTAATGCATGTATGTATGTATGTACTTGTATGTATGTATGTATGCGCATGTACGTATGTATGTAACGTATGTACGTACGTATTGCACGTATTGTACAATTACAAACAAATGTAGTACGTGATGTACGTAATGTACGTATGTACGTATTGCATGTACATGTACAAAGGTATGTATGTATGTACATGTACGTATGTAACGTATGTATGTACAATGTGTATATGTACGTATTGTATGTACGGCAAGTAATGTAACGTAACGTAGACGTATTGCACGCAACGTACGCAACGTAATGCTGTGATGTACGTAACGTAACGTAACGTACACGTAACGGCTGCACGTAACATGTACGTGTATTGCTGTACGAAGGTATGTAACGTATGCATGTATGTATGTATGTATGCATGTACACGTACTGCATGTACGTGTTGTAAATGTACGTATGTATGTACACGTATGTACGTACGCATACGTGTACAGCAAGGTATGTACGCATGTACTTGTATGTATGTACGAACGTAACGTAATCGCAAATGTATTAACGTATGTAATGTAATAGTAACGTAACATGCATAACGTAACGTAATGCCATGTATGTATGTATGCATGTATGTATGTATGTATGTATGTGCTTGTATGTATGCAATAATGCAAGTGTACGAAGTATGTTTTGTATGTACTGTGTATGTATGTATGGATGTATGTATGTAATGCAATGTATACAGCAATGTATGTATGTATGTATGTATGATATTAATGTAGGCACACACAACTTTCAACATTCAGTTATGGGCTTGTATGCATTGCATGCCACATTTGGGTATGCGGGCATATGTATGGCAGGCAACTCATGGTGGCAGGCAGGCAGCAGAACGGGAGGCAGGCGGGCACTGCTTGCAGTACAGCAGCATGCTTATAATGTAATGTGAATGCCTTGAGCACTTGCACTAGCTCATGGTAAAATGAAACGGCAATGTGAGGCAGAAGCAGGCAGGCGGTATGTAATGCATAAGGATATCAATGATATATGTGCACAACTGAATGTGAGCAGGTTGTATTCAGCGATTCAAAGATCTGGGTATGTATGTCATGCTCTGGCAAAGGCTGTGTTTGCCTTAGCAAGCTCCAGACACGGAAACGTTCCAGGGACATTCGCCCTGAAACCTGTTATATTCGGCAGGAAATGATGTTCCAAGAAAAATAAAGCGGTTATTTTTCTTAGTTTCACGCAGTTTCATGCTATACGCAAATACCAACGAAGTTTAGTTCTACAAGTTTCACAAATGTATGTATCCAAAGTGCAATGTCATGTATGTCTTCCAAAGTCTTCAAGACGCAGACAAAGACGGTATGGGCGGATCGCCAAAAAAGTCTTTCAGACGCGAAATGTTAGAGACGGAAAGGGAGGATGGCCGCGGATTTAAAACGATGTATGTATGCTGCCGCGTTGCGGTAGTAGCTGTTCGCACAATATGTCACGTGAAATGCACGTTGTCACTGAACCAGCCCAGACTATGCAGATGCGAACCAAGTATAAGGGTATTTTCTTCCAAGTTTATGTATGTATGCTGTTTCACAAGTTTTATGTCTGTGGAAGGCACAATGCTCTCAAAGCCTTGTAAGGTTGTACAGTGTTGCGTAAGGGCAAGTCTCTCCAATGACAAAGAATGCAGTAATGTATGATGCATGTATGGCATGTGCATGTATGTATGTGGATGTTGTGGACGCCAAAGTCTTCGCCCTAAACGCAAGTGCGGAGCAGAAAAACAAAACTACTAAAAGAAGCACTGTGACATGACATCTGTGGTTCTCTTCTCTCTGAGAACCTGATGGCCTCGGAAACACGGGCTTACCAACATTGTAACTGGGGGAGCATATGTCCGCAAAACAGAAATGGTGTCAACATGTGATTGGTGGCGCTGCGTCATTTGGGTTTGTATTTTAGTCAAGGCAGGAAGGTTTGAGTAAGGGGTATATTCGCTGAGGTATGATTCAAGGGAGCGAGACGGGGTATGATTCATGGAAGCAAGCGCGGCAAGCAGCAGTAGTAGTAGTAGTAGTGCTAAATATCGGTAATCATGCAGTACCAGTGCTGGCAGTAAGTGTTGCTGTTGGCAGCAGTGTAAGGCACAAAGAGCGGCAGTGGCAGGCAGGCGCAGGCACAGGTACTCCGTCCACTAAGGGCTTTATCGTAGTGGCGAGTTTTGAAAGATTTGTCTGCCTTGCGCGTGCTCCATTGCGCAGGCGACAGATGATGGGCGATCCGCTGTGGCAACTGATTACAACTCAGAATGATGACTGTTCCTGTGGTGGTGCAGGTGGATGTAGTGGTGCTGACGCTTTACAAGCCTTGCTGAATTGTCCGTTGATCCGTATTAATGATATGATCCGCTGGTGCAAACGCAATTGATTCAGAAGACGGGTGAGGTACGGGCAGTGTTTGGCTTGCAGGCAAGTGGCATGGCAGGTAAAAGTGCGGGTGGCAAATGTTGGGGAGTGCAGGCAGCAGTAGTGGAGGCAGCAGGTCAAGGCAGGTGAAGGGTAAGGTTAACAGCAAGTAGTGTTTAGCAGCGGGCAGGATGTCAGAGAGGCAGAGGCAGCAGAGCGGCAGCCAGCAGGCAGGCAGGCAGCAGCAGAGACCGGGAGAAAAATGCTGGAGGTGAACAGAAATGGTGAGTCACAACTGTGTTTCAGTGCTGCGTCACAGCTTTGTTGGAGCTTGATCTCGGGAGGTCCCACGCTTTGAATAACCCAACACCAAAAAGATAAACGCATTTAGGGCTTCCACTGTCTGGGGTGAGCAGTTTCGCAGCTGGCAAGGCTGTGTTTGCCTTCCTTCTGACAGGAAACCACTGCTCCTGGTCATGTTTCGTCCTGCTGAAACCGAGTCCCTCAGGAAACCCAAGTTCAAGTGTCATATGGGTTATTTTCTTTCCAAGTTTCACGGTTTCACGCAGTTTCACGAAATACTAAACGAAGTTTCAGCACAGTTCTGGCCAGTTTCATGCTTGCACGTTCAGCGAAGGCATGGTTTCAAAGCCTTCAGGCGGTTGTATGCACGGTGTGGGCTGAACATAAGTCTCTCCAAAGTCTTCGTGACGAGTTACATCGGAGCGATGGCTGCGGACGCCCAAAGTCTCGACGTGGCAAACCAAGAGACGGTGCGATGGATACTTCGGATTTAAAAACGAGTGGATGTCCACGCTGAGACGGTTCAGTAGCTCTGCAAAGAAGGCGCTTTGCCTTCCAGTGTTGAGACACGTCGAAAAGATGAAACCTGGTCGTTCGTCCTGAAATGGCTTGTTTTTAACCCTCCGTACGAAACCTGCGGAAAAGAAACCCCAAGTCAAGACTACGTTATTTTTCTTCCAAAGTTTCACGGTTCGATGGTTTCACGCAGAAATACCAACGAAGTTTTGGTTTCGCAAAGTTCTGGCTAAGTTTCATAAGTTTCGCGATGTTCAGTGCTAAAGGCAGCAGCTCTAAAGCCTTGTGTTGTACACGGTGTGGGGCTGAACAGGCAAG